TACAGACTTGGTGGTGGGATGTCACTTTTTGGAGTCTACACCTGGGAGAAAGGAAATATAATTGGAACCAGGCTTTGATTTATAGTGCTGTGTTTCAGGATCAGCCTCCAGACCCAGGGGTGTGCTTCTGAAAACAAATACGTTATCTTGGATCACCAGTTTCTCAACGGATTAGTCAGCCTTGCCTTTTAGGAACAAGGATTCATTCTTGTACTTTTCATTCCATAAACAGAGTCTCTCTGTTATGCATATCTAGTACTGCTAAGGCAGTCCCTGACTTCAAGAGTATATGGGTGTGAAGAGACAGAATGAACTCCTCTGTTCCTTTCTACGTCCTTTGTATGTCCAGCCTCGGAATCCGCTGTTCACTTCTTTCTCCATTTAACCAGCTCCTTCCGCAACACCCTACGGAATGTGCAACTAGATTTTCTGATAGTATTTTTTACTTTGCTACAAGCTCTTTTCCCATCTCTTAGCCATCACTGAAACCTGGCTTTTTCATAAATGATGTCACTTTCCTCAGAAGATTCTCCAGTGATACCTGCTTTTCTCGCTTTCCTTCACTCGCAGCACAAGCGAAGCGCCAGTACAACTTTTTGGCCATGATACTGCTGCCGAGCTCTTTCAGTCAACCGCCACTTCTTGAACTGGTGAGTTTGGTTCACACCATTCTTTCTCAGTGTTTGGAGACAGGATCCAACACAAACCATGCCAATTTTTCAACTCAGTATTGCTTTTATAGTTCTTCAGAACCGTCCTCGGCTCTTGGGTGGCTGTATTTATTGACTTGTGCATTACTGACGTTTCATGACCACTCTGCACTCTGAGTTTCTGCCCATGTGCAGCAGAACTTGTACCGTAAGTAATTAAATCACAATCCCTTCCTTCAAGGAAATTACAGTGCAGAGAAGCAAATTTAAAAGATTTTTAATTTAAAAAAGGTCTTAGACTAGGAAGCAGTTACTGGGGGTGTGGGGACTCACTTTGTCCCCCTCCTCCTAATCACTTAGCTGCCTTCCTGACCCCCTTGTACCTTGTGGACACCCAGAATCCATGCCCTGCTTCCTTTCCCCGTCTTTGCTTTGTGACCCCTCTTTATTTATTCCTGTGTTAAGAATTGCTGCAGCAAACAATGAAATAGTTGATAGTCTTTTTCAAATTGATGTCACCCTCATTTATGTCCTTACGGTTCTGAACAGTTTTCATTCCTCTTAATGATTGGCTACTATATTTTTCACAGTGGCTTTTCAACTCTTCTTGTCTTATAAAGCTGCTGTCAGTTCCTCCTCCATAGTTCAGGATTTCTTCTTTTCCATTTCTTCTGTTCCTACAGACACTATTTCCGTCCCGGATGCCCCAGTCCGCTGGCTCTGAGCACGCGAGGACTTATTAACCTAACTGTTCTTTCTGGCCACTCTTTCTATTTCCACATCCTTTCTATTTCCCCTTCTATTTCAGCCTCTTTCTGACATCTGCCTAATAAACTTTGGTCCTGCCCACCATGTACACAAAACAAAATCCAACTTTGATTTCAAACCCAAATCCTATTTTTTTTTTGAGACTGACAACCTTCTGACAAGATTAATCTACAAAATTTAGCCGCCTCCATTTTTTTTTATGACAATAGTCTCCCTTAGCTAGTTTTGCCTTCTATAGATCCAGTTATCTTCAGTCAACAAATTAAAAAGTATTAAATGGAAACCTCCATAAGTGGACATTTCTTATATTTTAAATTGCTGCTGTTTAGAGTAGCCTAATGAAATCTCACGCCTTTCTACTCCATCTTGCTCAGGACATGAACCATCCCTTTGCCCTATCCACTTATTAGAAACTTAGTAGCCTCTTATTAGTCAGACCTACTGTCTCCATGTTTGTGTTTACAAACTCTTGTTTTACTTAATAACGGCCATATGGCACAAGAGTCACACTGAGCCTGAATATGCCAGAGAAACCATAAAGTGCTTCCTTCACATGAAAAAGTGAAAAAATCATACACTGAGGTTGCTAAGATCTACAGTACAATGTTTTGAGAGACCACATTCATGAAATTCCTTATTATAATTTTTTATTGTTGAACTCTTACTGTATCCAATTGATAAGCTTTATCAAGGATATGTATGTATGAAAAAAATATATATATTGTACATAGACCTCAGCCCTGAGGTTTCATGAAACACATCTACTACAGATAAGGGAAGAATGTATCTTTACTACTAGCAAATCGTTTTGTTCACACCATTTTAAATTGCTCACCAGATCATAGAAATGACATCCCATTTGTTAAACTTCATTTATCTTATCATAATCATATTTGATTATTATTGGCCATTTTTTAATCTTGATGTATCTCCCTTGGCTCTGAGACATTGTCCTGCCTCTCTTCTCCATGTTTCTTCTAGCCTCTCCCAAATTCTAGAAATAGACATTTACCACCTGCCTAAACTATGCAGGGTCCCGGGAACAAAACGGTCACTCTGAAAAGTGTGACCAAGCTGGAGGAGGTAGGATTTCAGCGCTCAGGACTAAGCTCAGGCAAAGAACAAGCAGCAGAGAGAGCTCCAAAGGAGGGGCCTTCTCATCAGATATTACAGATGACACTGAACTAGACCTCGGCCTACAAAGGCCATCAGATGGGTTCAACAAAAACCAAAGTAAAAACAGACAAAAAACAACAAAAAGGAAATCAAAATAGGGTACTTGTTCCCATACAATGCATACAAATCTATTTTACAAACTTGCAAACAAATGCAGATCACAGTACAACCCACCTTACGGGGTAACTGAAGATTAAACAATGTATATAAAGCATAAGGCCTGAAACACGGATGTTATATTCTATTCTATGAACTAAGTAATATAAACCCTAAGCAAGCATACTGTCATGCTACTGTCAAACTTAATCCTTCCAATTATTTAGTATGCTCAAAAATCTCTGTTATTAATGATACAACACATTTAAACTAAGATAAGATCGATTTCTCTTTGCTGCACTAAAACGACTTTAATTAGTTATCAAACGCCTATTTTCTGAACTTAACAATCTGTTTACTTTTGAACAATTTTTTAACCTCTAGCTTCTCTTTTGAAGTATTTTCCAACCTCTTAATATTTTCTTGCCTTTTGGATTACAAGCTACCCCTTTGGTTTCCTCTTGCTTCTCTGAATATTTCTTTCTATACCTGAGCGGGAGTCCCCACTCTCCTGGATGCTTTTTCAGTTTAGTATTTCTCAGGTTCATCTCTGCTTCCTCCCTCACTTCCAAAGCCTAATACTGCTCTATGCTACCTTATCTTTATCATCTGACTTGGGCTACTGCAACAGTTGAAAAGGTATCCAGGCTAGTTTCTCCAAAATCAGGTTATCCTTCATGGTGCTACAGATTATTTTTTAAGTGGCAAACGTTTGTTAAAAACAACTGCTGCCTACAAGAAAAAGCCCCAAAATCTTAGCATAACATACCAGGCCTACAACCTCCTTCCTTAATGTTCCACCTACTCACCACATGGAAATGTTGCTCATTACATGCTTTTCCAGAAATCCCTGCCTTTCTATGGCTCCTCTCCCTTGAATGCCCTTTTCCCCTGTTCTCAGCTATTTCCTGACCCAGTTCCTTTCTTTATTAAGCACTTATCACATTGCATTTTAAATATGTTCATACATCTGTTCCTCCAGGAAAATATTAGCATCTCGTGTATAGTCAAATGCTCTTTTCTTCTCTATAAATCTACTATCAAGATATTGTTCAATAAACACACTGAACTGTATGCAATCAATAAATATTAACATACTTTATGTTTTTTAATTGTGCTTTTTTATTTTTAGGTGGAACTGACGGAAAGGAAAAAGGCCCAAATGACACACTGAACCTTAACTCTCAAGGGAAGAATCAAGTCACCAAAGAACAGTGCCAAACAATTAACATTAGAATTATTCCAGAATTTCAAAACTTGTGACGATGGCAGGGGATATACATATGTGGCCTTATCACTGTCCTCTCTAAAATCTTTTAATAGTTTTTTAAAGACAAAGCCACAATCTTCATCCAGCCTACAAGCACTTTCATCCACTTTGTTTCATCTCACACTACTCTGCCTTACACAGCTTTTCATTTGCTTCTTGCATAGGTATATTTGCCAGCAATGTTCTTTTATGTATACTATCAACCACAAACCTGTCAGCTCTTATTCTTTGGCTATCAGCCTAAGGATTAAGTGTCTACATTACGTGACAGCTGACATAAGACTGTTATATCACATTATATTTGGAAAGCAATATAGTACAGTGTTGTGACCAAGGATTATGGATATAGGATGGGTCCTTGGGCATCCTTAGATAACGTTATCTGTAAAACAAATGTAATAGTGGGATCAACCTCAAAGGCTACTGGAACCATTCAAGGGAGTAATTCATGTAGAACTGTGCTGAACCCTCTTGTAAGGGGCCAACACATGTCAGTTATCACATGTAACTTGGCTGTCAATCCCCATTTCCTCTAGCTCCTCAGCACTTTGTGTTGCCCAGACTGAATTCGAACTTGGGGTCCTCCTGCCTCAGTTCCCCAAACTGGTGGGATTACAGGTATGTGACCACGCCCGGATCTTATATTCTTAGACTCAGCCTTGGGTTCTGAACACAGCAAACCCTGGATATATTTTCTTAAAATATAAAAGTAAATTGGGAAAAACCTTGCCTCAACTTCTGCCTCACTAGCTAGACGATCTCTGAAAACTCACCTGCCCCTTGCTGTACCCTGCTGTTGGGTCAGGTAATTCAATCTGTCTAGAGGAGCACAAAGCAGGAACCCTGAAAGCGCACACAAACGGGGGCTGTTTATTGTAGAAGCGGGGCCCGCGTCCTCCCTTCCCGATGGCACGTCTCGTCCTAGCCCCCCTCTTCCCAGTCCACACCCTTACTGCGCCCTTGGCCCTGGGTCCCTGGAGATTGCAACCGTGGGAGCCCCGGCCCCGCGCTGCTCCCTCACCGCGACCCGCGCCCTCCTTCCTTCCTCGCCCGGACGGACGCACTTCCGGCGGATGTGGGGGGGCGGCCCCCGGAAACGGAAGTGAGCGGCAGGGCGGGCTGACGGTAACCGGACCGTGAGGCTGCTCACAGAGCGGGTGAAGATGGTGAGTGACCCCCCGGGCGGCCCGAGTCCCAGGCGGGCTGGGTGTGCTGGCCCGGCAGAAGCAGGCTGCAGCCGCTCAGCTCGGCTTCGGCTGGCGGCTGTGACGTGGGAACGAGGCCCGCCGTGCGTCCCGTGAACTGTCGAGTCACGGGCTTAGCGTGAATCGTGGCTGCCTCCCAGGCCTGCCTGGCCGGAGCGCTGGCCCCGCGAGCAGAGGCTCTGCCCTGTCCCGTTCTTACCTGCCTTCGATCGGTTTGCATGCTGCTTTCTCCGAGACCCTCAGCGGGTCCCTGCCTCTTTCTTGCCCGTAGCTGTCGCGCAGCTGACCAGGGCAAACCAGAAAGCTCGATGGAGCTGCGGACCGTGCTGCCCCTGATGGTGACCTCTGGGACCCCCGAGGTTCAAGCCCTGCTTCCCTTCCCAATCTCCTGTCTCTCGCAACAGCTTGATAACCAACCCACAGCGCTAGGTCACGTTTGTGTAATTTAGCCTTACTTTCACGTTTCCCCAGAGTTCGTGACAGGCCATGTGTTGAGGGGGAAGAAAGTCAGTTATTCCTCATTAGTTAGCATTGTTACTGCGTTTCTTCTGTCCCCCTTTGCGCCTGTCTGCCCCTCCCCAATCTCTCTTTTCCCTTTTACTTAAAAGTTGTGCTATTTGAGAAGATGCTCGAAGCTCCATTGCCACTGACTCAGATACAACGCTGCTGGTAGGCCACTTGGCCAAATCTAGAAAGTTTCTTTTGTAAATTACCGCTAATCACGGTAAAGAAGTTTGATAAACATTCTCAAGTGTTATTAGTATTCCATGTTTGTTTTAGACCATTACTTTATTAGAATTCTTAAGTACTAAATCCAGTATTTTGCAGAGAGAAGTTGGAAAGGTGATAATACGGGTAAAAGCCCCAGAGAGCAGGATTCCTGCTTTCTTGGTGCATAGAAGTTATTTTTGTCACACAGTAAAGGAGCCTGGCAGGAGGAGGATGCTCACAGAGGATAATTTAGATAGTAACATTTGGAAAGTTAACAATGACACAACTCCACTTCTGGAAGGAGTTCAGCCAACTGGTGCAGTGAGTTAGAGGACCAGAGAGGTGTGTGCTTTGGCAGTCACAAAGGTTGGTGATAGTCCACACTAGGTTCCAGATTCTTTTCCATTAAGCTCCTGTATGTAGGGAAGTGGAAACCTGGTGTGCTGGTTCCTGAGTTCCAGACTGAGGACCTTGGACTTATTCTTTAGGCATTGATAGACCAATGAAAGGATTTTGTTTTGTTTGTTTTTAGTAGCTTTTCTAGGGGAGGTTGTGTGCTTTAGGAAAACCCTGATATGCTGTACTGGAAAATGAGTCCAGTGCAGCATGATCCAGTAGAATGCTGTGAGAGCCTGGTCAAGGGTGGGAGAGTGAAGAAACCACGGACATGATAAAGTATCTGATCAAATAAGACATACAGATGAAGTTAGTTAAAAGATGGTTCCTTAGAATCATTTAGAATAACATAAGATTAGATACCAAACCACCAGTTTATTTCATGTTTTTTGCAGAATTGTAGGAGTATTGTAGTTGTGTAGTCCTAGTTTAAAGTCAGTATTTTTATTTTGCTTGTTAGTGTATCTGCATTAGATTAAGCCCTGGGAGATTGACCTGTGTCTCCAGCACCAAGCAGAGTACCTAATACACAATAGGTACTGTACATATTTGGTGATTGAAAGTACAGATTAATAGTTTTGTAGGGTGACAATGTATCTGTTCCAAATGTGAGCCGGGAGTGGGGGCCTACACCTATAATCCCAGCACTTGGGAGCCTGAGGCAGAAGAATCCCTGTGAGTTCAAGGCCAGCCTGGGATACATAAGTTTAAGGCCAAACTGCACAAGTGAGGCCCTGTCTCAAACAAAACAACCAAATGCATTTTAAAAATTTTTTACGTTGCTCTAATGGATAATATTTTTTTTCAGTAGACAGTGTCATTCTCATAGAAATTTCTTTTTTCACTTAGCTTCTGTGACTGTTTTTTCCTAGTTTTCCTGTCTCTTCTTACTCCTGTTTCTTTTTTCTTCTGTCTTGTCCTCAGGACAAGGTGTTCCTCAGGATTCTGTCCTCAAAATGTTTTCATTCTCTGTGAATGGAGGGATCTTTAAAACATTAAATAAAGTGATCTTTTCAGTGAAACCAATAGAATCAGTCCTATCATAACCCTTTAGAGGCTATCAAATTTAGAGTAAAAATTAAATTTCTTTCTGTATAAGACTTACATGTTTTGATTTTGCCAGCCTTCTGTCTCACTCATCTGTGTATTTAGCCAATCAAACTGCCCATAGCCTGTCCAAAACTGCTAATAGCTTGTTCATTTATGTTTTGTACCTTTATCCTTGTTACTTCCTATTTCCTTTCTCATTCAGGGTCCTTCTGCCCCTAAATTTGAACTGTTCATTGCAGCTTGTATGTCCATCATAATTTTGAAGGCACATTTCTACTGGTCAGACTGTTTGAAGGCAATAGTCCTTCTTTCTTTTCTACTTAAATAATGCTTTTTACGATAGGTATTCTCTGTGTATGTGTGTTAAATTATCTCATATCTAACAGTGTTTTTTATTTGTGTTATAGAATGCCAGAGGACTTGGATCTCAGCTAAAGGACAGTATTCCAGTTACTGAACTTTCAGCAAGTGGGCCTTTTGAGCATCATGATCTTCTTCGGAAAGGGTACGTGGTAGAGTTGTGGGTTTGTCTTTGTTGTAATAAAATATTTCTTTGAATTTTTTTTTATTTGTCACATAACTCTTTAAATATTTTGATAGGCCATAAGTGTATATTTAATTGAAGAAGTACCAATAAAACATACCCTGACGGGGTAGGAGGGAAAGAGGCCTAGGTGTTTGCAGTCACCTCTTCTGCGCATCAAGACAGACTAAGAAAATGAATAGGCAGCCCCATAGAGAGCTGAGGACAGCTGGAACTACATCGTGAGACCCTGTCTCCAAAACACTAAAGAAAACATTTGTTTCTAGATGTAGAATATTTAGCACAGATTTTAGAGGGTTTCCTTTAGCAACTGACGTCTTGGTTACCAATATCTATAATAGATACATTTAAAAGCCGTGATTATACAGAATATTTGGCTACTTTCTTGTGGTAGTAGTCCTTTGAATTTTAACAGATCTTAATTTCCGTTAACTATTACCTTAAATTAAATATGGAGTCTTTTACTTCCCCCCCCCCAAAAAAAATCCCCCATGCTATACTACTGTAATCATATTTGGGGAAGGGTAGCTGGGTATGGAACCCTGTGCCTCATGCATGTTAAGCATGGGTTCCAGCGCTGAGCTGCATTCTCAGCTCTTTTGCCGTATTACTATAGTAGTGTACTCTTGGCAAATACATTAATGAGCTTGGATATTGAAGTGATATGTAATCTCCCATTTAAATTTTTTTCTTCTAGTTTTTCTTCTGTGAAAAATGAACTGTTACCAAGTCATGCTCTTGAATTATCAGAAAAAAATGTAAGTTCTTGTATGCGTGTTTTTCTCCCCTCATAGGAAATACTTTCAGGAAAGCTATTGTGGTATTGTTTTATAAAGCAATTCTGATACTGAGAATTCAGTCATGAGCCCTTATTTTCAGTTGTAATTTCATAATAGAATTTTAAAGTATCACTGCACTTTACTTAAGTTCCCTTTCTGTACATCTTTTTCTGTATTTTTCTAGTTGGCAGTTATACTCTCACACTTTCCCCTGTGTTAGTCTGGCCTTTAGATCTGGAGTACTGGTATTTTTCTCAGTGGTACATATTAAGAGAACTTGGGTTATGGCAGGTAGGCTTTTTAAAAAATTCTGTGGTGCTGAATTTATCTTCCATATTAAAAGCTTTTAGCATGAGTTGTGTAGTTGAACTACAAAAGCATCACATTTATTAGCTAAATAAACTTGTATAAACTGCTCGACCTAGGTTTTAGTTTGGAGAATTAGTAATGGCTTACCCCTTGCCGTGTTTGTGGCCTCGGGCAGCTCTCTAGGATTGGGAGCACCCTTGGGACAGGGATGGGAAATGACCCTTATCATCTGTGCTAGTGGATCTCAGGTGGGGTGGGGTGCTATTTTTGTACCCCATCAGTGTCTGAAAACATTTTTGGTCATCAAAAGTGGCATAGCTGGAAGTGGCAGAGATCATTAATGTTAACATCTATTGGGTAGAATTAGCTAACACTGTTTAACAGTGCTGCCACTGGTGGAGAATCGCTGATCCATTTGTAATGTCTTCCCAACTAGATTCTGGGATAGACTGTTTCTCCTGTTGTGCTGTTCATCACCATAGTCTAATTTTGCACATGTTTTCTGATTTACGCATCAGTTGATAATTGTAGTTTAATAATTACAAGTTGGATGCATTTATCCTATCTATATGAGTTCAATTTTCCTACATAAAACTACATTTATACCTCAGGAGAACAACTATTAAAAGGAAGCCTTCACTTAAAACACCATATCATAGGCCCATAGTAAAATGCAAATTTTCCTAAGAACCACCTGTTTTGCTGGGTCAAATTAAAGTAATTAAAAACTACAGTGCTGACACTATACTTTTTATAACTATTTTTTATTAGTACATATTTATGATACATATTGATCACATTCCTCAAGGAATTTGTACCTGTACATATTATATCTTAATTCTTTTTTCTCCATTTCCCTTCCCCTACCTTCAATCCTTCTTGCCCTTCCAGTTTACAAAAGCTTTGGTTCCATTTATTCCCTTTCATTCTCTTTTTTTTCTTTTCCTTTTCTTCCTACCCCTTTCTGTTGCTTCCCTTCCTATTGGAATTCATTCTTCCTACTTAATAAAAGTCTGTCCTCCATCATACTTCTTATATACCCTTTGGTTTCTCACACAAGAGAAACAATGCAATATTTAAACTTGTGTGTTTGTCTGTTTCACCAAAGACTGCTCTCGAGATGCACCCATTTTCCCACAGTGACTCGTTCATCCTTCTTTATGGCAGAGTAGTACTCACCTGTATATAACTAGCACATTTTCTTTATCCACTTGGATCTTGATGGCATAGGGGCTGTTTCCAAGACTTAGCTGTTACAAAGTGTGCCGCTGCACACATGGGTGTGCATGTATCCCTGCGGCATGATGCGTTTAACTCTTTCAGGAAGATAGCTGGAAGGGAAGCAGCTGGGTCAGATGGAACCTCTAGCAGCAGTTTTTGAGGAAATCTCTACACTGGGTGCAGCAGTTTGCACTCCAGTAGCAGTGAAGAAGGGCTCCTTTTTCTCCCCAACCTCACCAGCATTTGTCACTGGCTGGCTTTGTCGTCACTCCCTCAACCCCGTACTCTTTTATTGGTACATTTTAGGTTAGACATAATAATGACATTCCTCAGGGAATTTGTACCTGTGATGATACATCTTGCAGCTGCTTTTTTTCACATTCCCCTCTCCTGCCTTCAAGCCTTCTTCCCTTTATTTACTAAAGCTTCGTTTCCTCCTATTCTCCTTTCTCATTTCTTGTCCCTTCCTTCTTCGCCCTCCCCCTCTCTTGTTTCTCTTCCCATTTGAATATTTTCTTCCCATTTCCCAGTATCTAGTTTCTCTTTTGGGCTGACACCTTACTGTTAAACTTCATATATGTGGCCTCCAGTCATGTCCCAAGTAGTCTTTAATCTCTCGGTAGATTTTCAATGAAAATGATTTTTTTGGATAACCATTAGAAAAGAATCTTAAGAGAGTAGAGTGTACTAGAAAATAACTGCAAGAAGTCATTTTCCTATTTATTCATATCTTCACCTTCATAGCATTCTATTTGTGTATCCTATTATCATCATTAAGAGCTATTTTAGTTCAGCAGCACAGGCACCAACCTGCCAAACACAAAATACTGAGTTCGAGTGCCTGTACCAAAAAAAGAGCTATTTTAAGAAAACTTTTGTTTTAGAATACAGAGTCAAGTCGATTTCATTTTGCCTGAAAAACATTACATTAGGATCTGCATTTCTTAAAAATAGTATCAGTGCTTAGTAAAAACACAATTCTAAAAAAAATTGCTCATTAGTACCCAAAACAAATTGAATAGTCTTCTCCAGAGGATTTTCCCCCCTGAATTAATTATCACAAGAGTGGAGTTTAAATATTGAAGTCAAACTCACATATTAAATATGTGAGTTTGAGCCCTGAAACCAAATAAATATTGATGTTTAATTAATAAAATACTGTAGTGGTTTGATTACTGTATTTCTTAGTGAAATCCTTTGAAATATGTATTTTCACACTCAAGTTCACAATTTTTGTCAGTCCATGTGAGATATCCTGATCTCAGATTATTTGCCTTTTCTTTGCGTTAAGGAGTTTTATAATACTTCTGATCAAAAGCACTGAAATATTCTTATGCCTTAAGTACTTCTGTAATATGAAAAGCACTTTTTTGTTTTATAAATTCAAATTTTAGAAAATAATTTACAATAGTAAAGTATACCTGCAAACTGGATAACAAACATATAGATATGACTGTTCTAAAATTTGTCATGAGAAATTAATCAAAGTGCTTTGTTTTTATTTTAGTTATAGATACACTTTTGTGTAAATATTGTGTTATATATGTATCAATTTGTAGTTCCAGCTCAACCAAGATAAAATGAATTTTTCCACCCTGAGAAACATCCAGGGTCTCTTTGCTCCTCTGAAATTGCAAATGGAATTCAAGGCAGTACAGCAGGTGAGTTTGGGTATATGTTACTTACACGTCCCATGTGGGTTAATAGCAGTGTTAAGGACTCTTCCATTTTCTGTTTTCCTCCCAGCTTTCAAACCTTACTTTCTCTGTATCTTTAGTCTGTTTTACTTCCTGTTTTTTAGGATATGGATATGATTACTTCTTCAGAGAGGAGAAAAGTCATTAAGTGAGAAACTTCAAATTTTAGACTATGTCTAAACTTGCCTGGATGTACTTTCATGTTTTTCAGATTTTTTGGGTTATATTGAACTTAAGCTCCCTATAGGAATATCTAGATGGTAGCCTTGAGATGCAGTTTGTATGTACCTGTTGCTAAGGAATAAGTAATCAGTACTTGAAAGACATCCTTCCAAGTGCATAAGACCCTTTACTATGCTTTGAAATGTGTCATACAAACTACTTCCAAAGAGTTCTGCTTATCAGTAATCCCATCTATGGGTGACACCTTCAGTCTCTTTCTCTTTGCTCTGTCTCATCAGCCACTTTCACATTCTCTCAAATCCAAATCTGTAGCAAATTCTGTTGCAGTAAGTGTGCTTTTGTTTTGCAAGTTGAGTGGGTGCTTTTTGGTTTCTTTGGTGGTTTTGTTTTTTGAAACAGAATCTTGTTAAATTGCCTAGGTTAGCCTGAAACTGTGTTCTCCTGCCTCAGCCTCACAGGTACTGGAATTTACAGGCCTATGCAACACACTTGGTTCAAGTTGAGCTTGAAAATGGTTGCCTGTGTTTGCTGTCTATACTCCTCTGTCTCCTACTAACCCAGCCCAGTGGTTTCTGGCTCCCATTAAACCAATGAACATGCACCTAAGCAATACAGGCATTTCTCTGCCCTCATTTAACTTGAACTTTCTGTGGCATTTGACACTCAGGGCTCCTTTCTTCTTTTGATTTTTAGATCACCGTGTTTCCCCTTCTCTGAGACTCTGAAGTCAGTTGTCTCTTGGTAGATTCCTTTTGTATTGTCTGTTCCCTGACATTCCAGTTACGTATGTTTATACCACAGTTTAGGTTTTTGCCTCACCCTATTTTCCACCTATTTCTGTTACCTTAGTTACCATTTATATGTTGATGACTCCAAAGTTACAATTCTCACGAACTATAAGCACAGTACATTCTTTTCCAGTTGGAAATCCCACCGGTACCTCAGGTTTCATATGTAGAATTACACAATAATTCATTATTCCTCATACACCCTATCATGTTTCAGTAAGTTTCAGTCTAAGGCAGAAATCACCACACTAACTTGGTTATCTCAGGCAGTGCCTCATCCCCTAATCCTCACCCACCCCACCAAAATGAGTCCACCGATGCTTGATCCTCTCTGCATTCCTACTGCATTAGTTCTCACTCCGTGCTCCAGTCAGATTACTGCAGTGCTCAGCGCAGCTGTCTTTTCATCCCACTGTTCATATTCCAGCAGAATAACCGGGTAAACCACAGGGCTGATGATGTCACTTGCTTGGCTTTGCATGAAACCCTACTCCTTGAGGGGCTTTGAGAATGGGCTTCTTGTTTGCTACCATAGTCCGCACCTTCTGGACCACCAGCAGTTTTCTGATTATGGTCTTCGACCTTTTGGTTTTCCCAGTGCTAGTGTGGGTTTCTTTCTCTGACCTAACTAAAATCACATCATTTTCATTAAATATTTAATGCTACAGCTATACTGGCTAGTTATTCTGGAAGCCTCTTTGAGTACTTTTTTCTATGAATAAAGTTCTAAAAAGAGCTTGGCTTCAACTCAGCTGACTTGAGTCTGAATCTCTACCATCTAGTCTTAAAAATTTCAGTAAGTTAAAGACCTTTCTGAGCCTCTGCGATATTTTTGTTTGTATGTTTTTAATGTGAAATGAAGAGCAGTGAGGATTATTCTAAAGATTAAGTGACACATGTTTAGCGTATAATTGTTAACTTCCCTTTTTGTGAGCTACATTGTTTGTATTTTGGGCCTAGTTTCGTATACTTTTTAATCCAAAATTGTTGCCCAAAATTTTGAGCCTTTTTTCCCCTGGCATCCTTTTATAATGCTTATTTATCAAGATATTTAACAGCTCCTACTCACTGCTGCTTTTCATGCCTTCTCGGGATTGTATTGCTCATCTAACTACCTGCCAAACCCTACTCTGTCTGGTTTAATTTATAGGCTTCTGTTTCTGTTTCTGCCTCTTTTTCCCACTTCCTTTTTTTTTTTTTTATTTTGCTTGACAGTCAAGAGAAATTTTCTTCATACTGTATTTAAAAACTGTAACTTGCTGTGCGTGTTGATGCATGTCTGTAATCCCAGAACTGTGGAGGACCGTTGTGGATTTGAGGCCAGCCTGTATGATCCACACATAGTGAGATGCTGTCTTAAAAGATTTTTTTTAAAGTGTAGTTTTATGGGCCATTAGGAATTGAAAATCTATAGTCTGGGTACATTTTAGCAGTGGGAAAATTGGAATCTTATCACGCTGTTTTAAATTCTCAGTAAGATTAATTTTGAAATCTTACTATCATTTAGTTACTGACTACCTATGACTCCAGGTACTCTTCTGACAATACTCGAAATTGTCTTCATTGACTTCAGTTATAACTATACTGGAAAACCTCTAAAGAACAGAAAGACTGAAAATTTAGTTTGGCTACATTAAAGTTTGTTGAATACTATCTTAGTTACTTTTCTCTCATTGCTGGGGCAAAATACTCAACACCTAAAATGAAGGAATGAAAGGCTTATTTAGCTTACAGTTTGTGGAAGTTTCAGTCTATACTCAGCTGGCTCCAAAGCAGTATGGCATGGCTGAAGGGCAGCAGCTGTTCATGGCAGCTGTGGCAGATAGCAGAAAAAACCAGAGCAAAAGGGCAAAAGGGAGAGCAAGCCTCTTTCCCTCCCTTATGCACCTTTATTCCATCCCTTGTGCCCCAGGTCAAGCACAGCACTCATACTGCCAGTCCCAGCATCAGACAGTGAACCAATCACAAACACTAGAGTCAGCCACCTTCAAAAGCTCCACCTGCCATAACCGTATGAGGCTTTTGGGGGACATCCAGACACAAATCATAACATAGTATGTGCCATTAATTATCCTTACACATACTTTATACCCGTAGTACAGCTTTGAGAAAAGTTGTAGTATTCAGGTTTTACAGGTGATGAAACTGAGGCAGTGGTGGGTCAGGTTGCATAAGCCATTTGTTAAACTTGAATCCAGATCAGTCTGTCTTATAACTGTTTTGTCTGTTCTCTATACTTAGATCCCAGTTCATGATATATTTATTTAACATTTGAAAAATATAGATACGACAGTAGTTTTGGAATGGCATTTAAGGTGTTTTTAAAAGCTTCCCAAGTGACTTTTACCCGCGTTTCTGGTTACCACTACTGTTTCAAAAGGTCATGCCTTTCATTTGTACTATGAGCAGTATAAAGCAACATACAAAAAATGAAGTGATTGTTTACAAAGTAGAAAAATGTTCTCAGTTGGAGTTTCTTCAGGAATATAATCATCTAATGTATCGGAAGGCAGCCTTGTGCTGGGCTCTGGGATTTTGTGTTTCACCATATGGTGTGTGCTATAATTTGTAGTCTTAATAGGATTATTAAGGGTTAATGCAAGCTACAATTTCAGTATCTTAATATATTTTTTAAAACATTTTGAGAAATTTTTAAAAACTTGGTTTGTATCTAAAACATGAACTGGTATCTCTCACATCCCCCCAACCCCCTACTGGTTAAATTCCCATTTTATTCATTTTTGAGAATTTTTCAAGTAAAGAGTGAAGAGCCTGAAAGTAGATATATATGCTGGGGTTTTTAAAAACTGATGCATATCTGTGATACACAGTAATTACCTTCATCTTGGCAGATTGGTGCATATACACATTGCATCTTAAGCCATGTTACTCTTCCTTCCCCTGCATTTTGATTTTTTCTGATCTTATCCTTTTCTCTTTCTCAAAGGTTCAGCGTCTTCCATTTCTTTCAAGCTCAAACCTTGCACTGGATATTTTGAGGGGTAATGAGGAGACTATCGGATTTGAAGATATTCTCAATGGTGAGTGTCACTCAGCACCTTTTTACCAAGCAAAACAGAACCCTATCCTGTGGCGCTTACAGCCAATTGAACTCGCTTGCTCTTTATTGACAGAGGTCTGGAGAAACTTGATGAAAATAACTGTCCCTTAACTCTTTTTAAAACTGAACATTTTGTATGAGCAGTTCTGAGATATAAACCTTTTATTCAAGTTAGAGTAGCCATTGAGTCCATATCCTGAGCATCAAGTCTGAGCTGTAGCAGTCTGCTACACCATTCCTAGAGTGACTTACAAAATAACTCTTCTACTGTTCATAGTATTTGTGGGACAAATTTTTAAAATGACTGGAAACAATAAGATTAAAGTGATCTTTTAAAAAAAAAATAGCCCTCTCAAAATGAGTTTTGAGCTACTATAAGTGATGCGTAAGAAAGAGAATCCTGTCATTCTTAACAGAATTCCCTCAGTAATTGTATCACACACAAGGAAAATGACTTTTAAGTAAATCAATGCATGCAGCATTCTCTCGTGATTTCTGGACCAAGGAGGATAAACAGGTACAGTCCGGGGCAGCACTGCCTCTGCTTGTCGAGCACAGCAATGCAGGAGAAACACAGAAACCCAGCAGGATTAAGTCTTACAGTTTCGCTTGGCTGCTAGTGTCCAATGAGGACTGCTGTGCACAGTGGAGTCTAGCAGACCTCCTTTGGAGTCTTCCTAAGGGGACATCTCAGATGTAGGGAAATCTGAGATTCCCAGGTCATTTAAAAGAAGTAGGATGCTATTCAGGCCTATACATTCTTAGCTTTTATTTAGTTGTAAAAATGCATTTATTTAAAGATAAATAAATGCATGGATGCTTTTGTAATGCTGGCTAGAGAAAGGAGAAAGCTTTTGAGCATTTATTCAGTCACATATTATGTGTTAAGCACTGGGTTAGGTTCTGAATATACAGTGGTAATCAAAATAAACATCTTTCTAGTGGTAGAGGCAAACATTAAACAGAAAAAACCAAATTGTGATAATGTGGAGGAATAAAAAGACATTAGATGAGGGAATGTAGGTGCCTCTGAGAATATGATACATATTAGTTGATTCCTGAAATTTGCGTGAATTGTTATAGGTAAAAATGGAAGGAAGACTTGATTCGTCATTGTCTATAAACTAAGACCTAAAGAGCCCTGAAGGTTAGAAATCGTACCCTCCTTTCTAGGTAATAAGTTAGCCAGCCATGGTTTCATGGATGCTGTTAGAAGATACAAGATTCCTGGAGACAGAAGACTTTTTACCACTCATGGCAGTCTTAATAGCTAGAGAGTACCAACATTTCCATTGGTTCCATGAGCCCCTTTTCCTATAAGACACCTCAAGAAGAGGATTAGGTGCCACACGGATGTATGGTATATTTTGTTTCAGGAAAGAGTTCTTTGTTCAAGGGACTTAAATTTTATGATGGGCAGTAAAATGTCTGTCCTGTGTTCCTGTCTCCAGGGGCTGTTCACTTTAGAAACAGCCTTGATTCCTGTAGGTAAAACTGATTTGTGGGGCTGGTCAGCATGTTTCTGCATCCAGATGGAAGGCAGCTCATGGGGGTTTTGGGGCTGATGAGTAAAGGGGGTTAAAGTTAATACATTTTTGTACTAAATATGTTTATTTTTTTGTGCAGTGTTCCTGAAAATTGGAATTGTATTACATGTTAAAGTGAAAGTTTTTAAAACATTAATAAAAAGAAACAGTCTTGAACAGACGGTCTAGAGCAAAACCAGTGTTTCTGCTCCCAGAAGTTGTAGAATTGTGAGAGCATTGTTTTCCAGCACAGAGGAGAGCATTTTAAGAAGTGTCTTATGGCTAAAGTATTCTGAGCAAAGTAGAGCGGAATAAGATGAGGTTGGAAAGCTACACAGAAAGCAGATAAACCAGAGCCTTAGACCACAAAGTGAGGTCTGGAGTTTATTTAAAATGTCCTTAAATGGTTTTAGCAGAAATGTGATGTGACACCATTTCACGTTGAGAGTATCTTTTGTTATTTATTCCTTGTATCTCTGAAAGGCAGATTATTAGCTAGAAAGATCGCACGTGGGTGGAAGAATTTTGGAGCTGCCACAACTGCACTTGAGTAGTTTTCCCTTAGTGTCTGAGCCCTGTATAAATTATTAGGGATGATAGTTTTTGCTTGTTCTTCTTTACTAACCCTAAAGTGCTTGGCCAAGAAAATGCTGCACATCTGGGGAAGAGGACACGAGGAAAATCACAAATAGACTTTTTTCCTTGTGCTGGAAGGTGCTTTTCACTCACTCCAGTCCTTTTATTTAGGATAAATAAAGTGAAATTCACAAAGGGACTTGGTCCACCCTCCGTGTCACAGTGAGCTTGGGGCATAGCTGATAACTAGACCTGCAGTCTGCATACCTTGCTGTGGTGGACTGTACTGGTATATTTGGTAACTCATTCTTTATAAAGAAAGTCAGAAGCTTAAAGAGTAGAGTTTAAAAGGGTTGTAGTTAAATAAATATAGTCTCTGCCATAAAATGTAACTTCACCACTAAAACTCAGCCCCTCATGACAGCCTTATTCCCATTTCTCCCCCTGTTCCTTCGTTACCTGCTATGTGATGTTGCAGACTTCTTTCTTGTGTCTTTTGTGCAAATATGTACAGTTAGAAAACATTTAGCACTGCTTTGTGTGTTTTTTAGCACAATTAGTATCATACTGCATGTCTTTGTGTGTGTGTGTGTATTGATGGATCTCATTTTTTTTCTTGCATGTTAACAAAGCAGTGCCTCTATGTCTGTGCTTATTCTTTGTACTTATGTGAGCGAGCATCTTTAGTTCTGGATGCCTGTTACATATAAAGCATTTTATTACTAATAATTATGGCACTATCAGTTGTTGTTCAGGCTACTGAGTGGAGTGATAGATGTGGAGTCTATCAGCTGCTGAACTGTTGTGACAGTGATTTCTTTTCTCTTATGAGATCTAGACAGGAAGCATATAGAGATGCTATACTGCACTATTACTCTCAGCAGTCACTTTTGTAATATAGATTCAGTTTTACAAATTCATTTGGTTTTGTTTCTAGACGAGTGTTGAGAAAGCAAAGGCTTCAGGGAACTTTCTATTGATAATGATTCTGAAAACTTAGGTGTGTTATCCAGTTAAAGTAAGACTTTATATGGCTATAAGCATGAGGGAGGGAAAATCTTGACAGTTTCTTACTCTGGAGTTCTGATTTATGTTTCTGTGTATGCAACAGAGTGGACAACTACACAGATACAGCACTTTTTATAATTTTTTTTTGGTCTTTTTCCTTTTTATCGGTACCAGGGATAGAACTCAAAACTGCCTGCTTGCAAGGCAGGCGCTTATGCTGCTGAGCTAAATCCCCAGCCCCCAGATATAGCATTTTTGCAGTTTAGATTAAGATTGTTCCCAGAGTCATCTGAGAAACCGTTGGAAAACTTCAGAACTGTGAAAAACCTTTTCAGTCTGTTCTCTCAATCAAGATCGAGAAAGCCTTCCTTGGTGCCATTGCAGTCAGCCCAGCTCTCCCCCAGCCAACCATTCTGCTGTCTGTCACTTTTCACTGTTGTAGATTTTCATGTAAGTGGAATCATTTAATTATCTTTTCTTTTGAGAATCTTCTAACATGTTTTTCCTTTGTTTTCAGATCCATCACAAAGTGAGCTCATGGGGGAACCACACTTGATGGTGGAATATAAACTTGGCTTACTGTGATGTGTGTGCTGTTCGTGAACCAGAGGGGCCGAAACTTGCTGTAGTTGTCTGTTGTTGTAATTTGATGTATATGACATTAAAAGTGCTGACATAAGAATTTTTGCCTAATATCAGTGATGACTTGAAGTTATTTGAGTTTTTGATTTGTGGCTCTGCAACAGTTGAAAGCACTATAGGGAGATGATTTTAAAGCTCCTAATTTGTAGCAAAACAGTGGCCTTCTGTGTCTTTCAAAAAGTATTTCGAGTTAATATTAGAGAATTTCCCATAGGTTCAGTTCAACCTACTATCTAGATAGTCCATCAGTTTGATTATAAATGACTATTACGGGCGTTTGAGCCTATATGCTTCATGGTAACATTTTTTGGAATAAACATGTATACAGAAACACTACAGTTCCTGAATGCTTCTGTTTGCAAACAGAAACATTCAGCTAATTTTGCTTCTGTTTGCAAACTCTGTCATGTGACAAACATAACCACAGCCATCTTCCCCAAAATTGTAAAACAAGTTTATAAACCAAAGTGTCACTGTAACTGATAAGTGACAACACTTAAAATTGAGATAGTAGACGTTTGTTGTGTTTTGGTGTAGATTGTTAGAATACTATTTGCTATATTCATGCTATATACAATTATAGCTCTATATTGGTCCTGTCAGGTTGAAAAGTTCAGAGGCTTTGATTTTGGTCTTGTCTTTGAAGTGAAAGCCACCAGCAGGTATAGATTTAATGGTTGTATTTCATAGACTTAATATGTACTTAATTGCTTCCCAGGCAATACTGTTAAACTCACTTTATTCCTGATTTGCATATCACAAGATACTTCAATTTTTTTAATTATTCAACTATTCATATATATAATACATCCATAAATGAATTCCATAGTTATTTAAATGAATGTTTACCATGATTATTTTTTCCTGTATTTATGAATCTGGTGTATAAAAATTACAGATTTCTTAAAACATTAATAAATGGATCATCTTCCACTACTTCTGAAATGTATTTTGATTTTGAGTTTTAAGGTAGGTATTTATTAGGTAAGTTTTGATTTGTACCATTTGACAGTGTCTGGGGACATTGTGGGTATTCACACTTCAGAGGTGGGCTACTGCTGTCATCTAGTGGGTAGAAACCAGGAATACAGCTGAGCACCCTGCAGTGTACAGGCATCGATGTGTGGTCACAGCAGCAAAGAGAAGACACTACAGGAAAATGACTTTAAAAACTCATAATCTATACTAACACAGTAGCCTTTACATCTTAAAATATTAATCATGAATATTATAGATCTACATGTACAGTTTGCTCCCTACACCAAAGAATTACTCAGTTCAAAATGTCAGGATTGCCAAGTTTGTTGAACCTTGGAATAAGTCAAATGTTATTTAAAAAGAAAATCTCTTCTACTCTATTGTGATTCAACTTGACATTGGCTTTGTCAATACAGTATTTGTTAACCCACATTATACTTAAATGAGAAAACACAAAAACTCGTTGTTTTTAGATGTACTGTACTTTAAACTAGTTGGAGATTTCTGTGCCTTGTATCTGAGAATATTTTAATAGGTTCCTTTCCTGACCAGTAGGGGGTACTATGAAATTAACAAGTATAGTTTAAATGGAAAATCAGTTTAAATTTGGTAGTGTTGAGTAATACTTAACTTTCTGGTGAACTTTTTGTTTCTCCTCTTTTACTTTCTTTGTATTTATACCAGTAGGCCTCATCTTTTGATGCATGTGAAAATCAACTGGGAATCTTTTGAGGACATTTTAATGTCAGGATCTGAATCAGAAATTTCAATAGGATTAGCCCTGGATTCCAGGAAGTATATTTTTGGAAAGTTCTCCAGAGTTGAGAATGTTTGATTTACATGATTTGTCTCCTTTTTAGCTTGCTTTGCCTTTGTACTAGGAACATCCATTAGTTTACTCTTTAGGTGTCCTGCAATGCTATACTGCTGTTTCTCAGCCTGCTGTCTATAGTGTTGCCTGGGAAGTTGTTTGGGTTCCTTCAAAAGTCAGTTGCAGGGCTGGGGATTTAGCTCAGTGGCGTAAGTGCCTGACTGCCAAGCACAAGGTTGTGAGTTCAATCCTGGTACCAGGTGGCTCACACCTTTAATTCCAGCCCTGGATGCTGAGGCAGGAGGATAGTAAGGAGTTCAAGCCCAGCCTGGGCTCCAGGGTGAGCTCAAGACCAACCTGAACTGCCTAGAGAGACCCTGCTCAAAAGGACAAAAAAAGTCAGTTGCAGATTCCTCAGAATTACTTCCAGACTCTTCAATCGGGCATTTTCCTGTGAAGTACCATGATTTTTACTAAAGAATTAGTACTTTACTTGCCACTGCTTTTCTGGAATAGCAGTCTGTGTTCAGGATCTGCTGTGTTCAGTCTGTGTTCAGTCTGTTCCCAGGTTGGTGCCTGATCTAATGAGAACCTGGATGATTCCTACACTGTAGTCAGGCTCACTGGATACTTCTGACACCAGATGACTCAGATTTTCTCTATACAAGAATCAGTGTTGTATGATTTAGTTTGTTTCTGACTTTATCTGGCATTGGAGTCAGATCCTACAGTTTAGCAAGTCCCAGGTCCCAGATGGTAAAATGTGCTTCCAACAGATTTGCTCTAAGTGAGGTACCTACAACCTCCTTGCATGGGCTCAGTAATTTGTTAGGATAGCTAAGAACTAAGTTAGAACTAAGAATATGTTTACCTGTGTATTATAAAGGGCATTTCAAAAGATAGCTGGGTAACCACATGGAGGTGACAGAAGAAAAGCTTGGGGCGTCCATCCTCCCTGAACACAGCTTCCTTCCACATGGTCACCAACCTGAAGATCTGAAATCCGTCTTTCAGGAAGTTTTACAGAAGCCTGTTCATGTAGCAGTGATTAATTATTAGCTTAATGTCTGGTCTGTCTCCTTTTCTTGGAGGCGAGTTGGAAGTTCCAAGCTTACCACAATATCAGCGCTTGATTAAAATTTACTAACCTTAAATGATTAGCAGAGAGCAAGTCCAAAGGGGATGCAATCCAATGCCATATTCAATTTTTTAATATGTGTGAGTACAAAGTGGATTTTGCCTTCTGGAAGTGTTGGCTTGACACACAAACTGGCATACCATGATGTGGTCTCCACACTCCTTCCTCTGTCCTTGAGGTATATATTTTTCATTATTTTTACTCTGCTGTGGGTATTCTCTTTAGGAGGTTAGCCAAACCCAGCCCCTTGCTCACCTACACTTCGGCATCTCTTCAAGTGCACACATTCAAGAATCTGAAAGACAATTGGCTGGTGGCACAGGCCTTTAATCCCAGCACTTGGGAGACTTGAGGCAGAAGGTTCAACACAAGTTCAGTGCCAGCCTAGGTCACATAGTGAGTTCAAGGCCAGCCTGAACTACATAGTTCAAGGCCCTATCTCAAAAAAACAAAAATAACAACACAAAAAGAAAACTAAGAATGTTAAAGACGGTCTGATGAAAGCAAATGATTGTGTGGTGTGTAAACTTCTGCTGGGACCTACATTGGATATGTTTTTTCAAGTACACAAAATACATATTAATTAAATTTTGACAATTAAACCAAAAATGAGGTCACATCAAGGATGAGGCTTGGGTCAGTAGGAGATCAGAGAGAATTCTGCTTTAACTTTGTCTATTCTTACTTATTTTTGAAGAGATGAATTGATTTTAACCCAAAACTAAAAAATCAGCCTTTTTCATTTGTTTTCTGTACTATATAGAAATCTTTCAGAAGTTAAGATTTTTTTAAACAACTTTTTATTTTAAAAATTTGAAACTTAGAGAAAATGGAATAAACACTATGAAATACATCCATTACATCCTCATGCATACACCAAGGATATTTTTTTCAAGAAGTCCACAAATTCGGCAGTAGGGACTTACCATGTCTTTTCAGGAGTCACGCAAAGTCACGATGTCTTCCTCGAGCTCGGTCCCAGTCAGTAGTGCAGCGTCTTTCTGCCTGGCTCACTCTTCATAGTAGGGAACTACACAGGCTCATGCTGCACGAAGCTGAGATCCCAGAGGTCCTCAGCATAGGAGAGACTCCCAAACTTCTGTGCATACACCGCAGAAAGAATCACATGAAGGTTTTTCAAAACACAAGGTTGCCCTACCACACCCCTGGAGCTTGTGATGGAGTTAAAACCTGAGAATGTATGTTTCTAATGAGTTATTAAGATGAGACCAGTAACTCAGGCGACACACCCCAGCAACCACAGGTGTAGAAGAAAGAAACCAGCTTGAAAGACAGGAATTACATAAATGCCTTCTTCATTTGCTGTTTTCCCCAAAAACACCAATATCATCTTTTAAATTTAATTTTATTGAGGTTTACTTTACGCAAGACAATATTCTCATTGTATACAGTTCATCGTTTACACAAATGTACCCAACTGTAGGACCACCATCCCAATTAAAATAAGACTGTGCCCATCCCCAACAATTCTTACCTTTTCACTGTCCGCTCTACTCCACACCAAGAACAGCCTCTTACCTGCTTTCTGACACTCACCACCGTTTTGTTTTGAGAATCTCATATAAACAGGATCATATGGTATGTATTTTGGGGTCTTATTTCTTTTGCTTGATATGTTTTTAAATTTTTACATCTACATTGACTACATCAGTAGTTTGTTCTTTTTTGTATCTTAGTAGCATTCTATTATAGATATCTACCATATTTTATCAGGTCATCTATTGAAGGACATTTGGGACACTTCCAGTTTTTGGCTAGTATAAAATCATTTACTTACAAGCCTCTGTAGGGATGTGTTTTCATCTGTCTCAGGCAAATGATCTAGGAGTGGAATTGCTGAGTTATAGTAAGTGTAGCATTGTTCAATGTGCTTGAATTGCTAGCAGCATTTAGGGTTGTCATATTTTAACTTTAGACATTATGGTAAGCATGTGGTGGGGTCTCATTATGGTTTTAATTTGCATTTCCTTAATGACTAATGTTTGAATATTACCATATTTTATTTATTTTTGTCTTTTTTAAACAGGGTCTCACTATGTTCAAGGTCTGGCCTTGAGCTTACTTTGTAGCCCAGGCTGGCCTTGAACTTGCAAAGATCTTTCTGCCTTGGCCTCCTGAATGCTAGAAATTACCATGTCTTTTTAATAACTTTCCTCCAGTTCCTCCAACCCCATGCTGCTCTAAATTAGTTTGTCTCACTGAATTGTAAAAGTCATCTATATATTCTGAATAGAGTTAGCATCTGTCAGATACATGACTACAAATATTTCTGGAGTCTTGGTTTGCCTTTTCATTTTCTTAAGTGTGTATTTCAAATGCCAAAATTTCTATTTGCAGTAAAATCTAATGTCTCCTTATATATGTGTTTTATATCTTTGGGGTTCCATTTAACATTTTTTCCTAGCCCAAGATTAAAAATTTTTCTATTATGTTTTCTTCTAGAAGTTTTGTATTAACTTAAATATCTTAACACTGTTGAACCTTCTTATTCATGATGATGTTATATCTTTCTGTCATGGTTTATGTCAGTGGCCTCCAAGCTTCATGAATTATGGACTGGACCAAATCTAGTATTTGTGATTGGTTCATTGTCTAGTGCTCGGATTGGTGATGTGAGTGTTTCACCCGCCCAGGAGTGGAGCCAGGATGTGATGTAAGGGTGGGAGGTGTCTGTCTCTTGTGGGTTTCCGCCTTGCTTGCCCAGCTGTGCCATTCTGCCACTCAGAGCCAACTGAGTATGGACTGAAACCTCCAAAATTCTAAGAAATAAACCTTTCCTTCCTTCACTTTGGGCTTCAAGTATTTTGTCTCAGCAAGCCGAGTGAAAAGTAACTAAGACATTTTCCATTTCTTTAGATCTTAATTTCTCCCATACTCTCTTTTAAATTTTTTGTGTATACATATTTCAGTGTACACAGGTCTTGCACAGATTTTGTTACATGTTTACTTTGTGTTTTATGTTTTTGATGCTATTGTTATAATTTTTAGTCATTTTTGTTGGTATATTAAAATATAAAAGATTTCTGTATGTTGGCTTTTGTTTTCTGTGACTTTTCTGCATTTATTTTATTAGGTGTATTGTTTCTATTTTTTTTAAATGAAGGTGGCAGGCCTGACCTGAGAAACACCTTCCCAATAAAGATAGTGCCCTCTACAAATAGAACTGGTTGCCATAAAGAAATTTAGGACAAGACCTGCAGTTTCCCTGACACCACAGACCCAGCTTTATGTGCACACCTGTGCTGGTCATTGATAGGTTCTGCCAGCCTGGGACTTAGCTATCTCTACATGACATCTGCTCAACTTGTTATCCGGCCCAGTGAAGCAACTTACCTCTCCATGAGTAACTTCTGCATTCTCCTTCTAGTTCCAGAAATAAACCTCCCACATTTTTCCTGGTGCACACCTGTTCGATCCCTAGACTCCACAACCACCCAAGCGCTCCATTCCCAGCCCCCAATAAATCTTTCCATTTCCTGTTTTGCATATGCAGCTGCTCCTTCAAATCAGCTGCTGATGTGTCCCAAACTCGTCCCCCAGTCAGACCTGATGAAATACTCCTACTTTTTTGTTCTCCCCAGAGGCTTCCTGTGTCTCTTCTGCAACCCTCCCGTGCCCGCAATAAAGGCCTCTTTTCTCCTTTTTCTGCTCTCTATCCTGACTAAATCTTACAGTCATCCTTGCTGCTTTGACCTCAAACATTTCACCCGGATTCCTTGAGAGTAAGACCTCCAATCCCCAACCTTTTATATACTTAGCCACCCCTCCAGATATTTGCCAGTGTCACCCTGTTTTCAGCCTGTTGTACTGCCACGAAATTAAATCTGCTCTTTCTCATGGCCTCAGTGTTTGGGTGTTTCCTCGTATGCCGTTAATAGATTTCTTAGAATTTCCTGTCCATATATGCAGATTAAGCAGCTTTACTTTTTCCTTCCCCATCTGCATGGTTTTTATTTCGTTCTCATGTTTTATGACTAGAGTTCTAGTTTGGTGTTGAATCAGGGTTGTGACACTCTAGTGATACAGTAATCCCCTTTTATCCAAGGGATACATTCGAGGACCACCAGTGGAGCCCTTGAACTGCAGACAGTACTAGACATATATACCTATAAAAAAGTTCAATTTATACATTAGGCAAAGTATAAGGTTCATTAAGTAGAATAATTGTAATATACTATTATAAAAGTCATGTAAATGTAGCTGCTCTCTTTAGAATTAAGACTATATTGATATTTTTGGATTTTAGTTGATCACAGATAAGCAAAATTATGAAAAACAAAACTGAAGGTAGGATGAGAGCAGAGAGAAAGGAAAGGTTTTGGATGCAGTGCAGGCTATGATGATCCTTGCAGAAATAGAAATACACTTCTCGAATGATAGAAATAATGTTCCTAGTAGGTATATTTAACTTTTATTTTACAACGCTGAATAAAAAGAAGCATGTTGGTAGAGTTTTAAATTTTCCTTAAGGCAGTTTTATTTATAATATTTTTTCTTAATCACCTGTTACATATAAAAATACTGGGCTTGACCCTGATGAAACAAATTAGGAAGTGTTTATTCTTTAAAGTGCTTCTCTTTTAAGGATTTTATCTATTAAGAGATATGACTGTCATTAGTACCTTGATGGGCTTAATCAAAGCATTCCTCAAGGATAGGTGAAATCATATTATAAATACCTGAAACTTAAATCATTATTTTTATACCAGTCAGTTTTCATTATACTTTCGAATGCCCTGACAGTGGTCAGAAACCCGTTTTGCAGGTGAGGTAAAGGAGTTCTCCCTGGTTTCCCTGCAGAGAGACTGGAGTGGGTCAGTGAGATTATTACTTTTGACCTTATTAAAGTTTCTTAATCCCTCTTTGTACTTTTTAGTTTCAGTCCAAGTCTAAGTCTTTAAGTCCAAGCCTAAGAAGTTTTCTTAGATTTGTTTCTTGGTGTATTGTAAACATACTGCGGGGTAAGCACAAAAGTCCTCACAGTGCCAAAGCACTGGAAGGAGTGAAAGCCAGGCTCTGATTCTGTTCTGTCTAGGGGAAAGGAGGACAATGCCAACACGAATCATTAACGAAGCACTGATTCCAGTTTATGTGTAGTCCTCAGGAAGTACTGTGTGTCCCAGGAGGTTCCCAGTCAGCTGTCTGCAGTGTCTTCTCTGGGCTCTTTCTGTGCAAGAGCCGTGTAGCTGCCCTGTTTGCAGCTGATACACTTGGCAGCACTGGAAAAGCAAAACAAGACGTTGTGAAGTGGAGATTAAACCAATGCATCAATAAGTCCTCTGTGCACCATCTTTTCCATGGTTCTGGGCTTCTCATAAATTATTCAAATTAAATATAACAGGAGCATCCTGGCATTTTGAGTTCAATTGACTCATTCTGAACATTTTCAATATTATAAAACATCTGCATGAGGTTTTTCTGTTCTAGACCCTTCAGATATGCATACACCCCACTATTCCCTCTGTGGAGTCGCTATAGAATCTTACACCTAAAGCTATTCCTGAAGTTCCGGTTCAATAATTGGAGCTAGGGAACAAGGACATTTGGAAATAAGACGCCAGGAAATTTTGATTTAAAAAATACTGAGCAAAATAGAGTTAAAAACTCAGATGCCCATCTACACTTATTAAGAGGATAACCACCTTTTTATACATTTATTTATACCAACATGCATATAATCATGAAAAATTACCCCACTAATCTATCTCCATGGAAGCATTCCTAGATTACTTTTCAGGGTATGGCTGTCACACTGATTTAAACATTCCCTTACTCTTGAACATTTTGATGACTTACAATCTTTTGTTGAAATAAGCTTTCGTTTATGTCAGTTTTTTAAATACTCCTGGTTATTTTCTTATCATAGCTTTTTAAAAGGAATCACTGGATCCATCCTATGTAGTTCTTCAAACAAAGTTTCTAGCACATGCTTGCAACTTGCTTTATAATAGAATCGAATAATGCTACTACTAATTTAGGAGACAGACTGCCTTACCACGTGATCACCAGCGCAGCATGAAGTTATAATTTTGCTAATTCAATAGGCAAATGATCTCTTTTTAAAAAGACACCGAGTGCCAGGTGTGGTAGCACAGGGCTGTAACCCCAGCACTGGGGAGGCTGAGTCAAGAGGATCACTGCGGGTTTGGGTTACCTTGTGGGTACAAAGCTAGTCTGAACCCCATAGCGAGACTTTGTCTCAAAACAAAAACAAAACAAAGCGAACCAACAACAAAAACGCAAAATAGACACCTAGTAAAAATCACGTCTTGTTAAAATTAGAGGAACTGAAAATGCTATTGTACGCGGTACCTTGCCTGACACAGACCTAGGTACCCTGTGAGATTCAGCAGGGACAGTGTCCACTGAGGAGGGCCTGCTGCGAGGAGGAGCTGGACCAACTTCACGGACACTGAGCGCTGGCGCTGGAGTTCTCCCTGACTTGCAGCCTCACCCCAAAGCACTGGGGAGTGGAGAAGGCCCACGCCTTAGGAACCTTTTCCTTCCTTCCCCTCTCCCCACCACACCCTGCTACCAGCCTCACGCAGGGGACAAAGGGCAGCACAAAGGAGTTAAAGAGTGCTAAGCTCACCACTGTGGCCCCGCAGATATAATCACTTGGGTGCTCATCTGCTTTGTCACTTATTAGGAATCATATTCAATAAATCTTACTAGAGCAACCTTTGCCCATCAGGAGATGTGATATTCAGGGAAATCATAATTTGAATATCTGTACCTCTATTGTAAGATAAAAAATTTAACCAGTGTTTATAAAGACACATAAGTATCACATTACTACTCTGGGAGGCTGAGGCAGGAGGATTGCCAGATCAAGTGCAGCCTAGGCAACTTAGTGAGACTTGCAAAATGCAAAATAAAGGGAAAGGGGTGTTCCGGGCCAATCCCCAGTACCACAAAATAAAATAAAAACAAAAGGCATCATACCAAGGTCTCTAACCCAACCTTTCTTCCTGTTAGTCTGGTTAACCATTCTGCTATCTCTCTCTTTCTACATCTCTAGAATTTCTGACATGTTTTCATGTCCAAAACTTTTGGAGAAGAGCAGTCTGAGGCAGAATTCCAACAGATCTATGTAATTTTACTGGGAAAGTTGGGGAATTCACTTAACCTGGCTGCTTTTTGAAAAAATTACTAAAAATAATTACGTACCATAGGTTGATCACTGGAATGAGTAATATACCAGCAGACAGCAAAAAAACGAAGCCAGGATACCAAGCAACAGTGACTGAATAAATTCCATTAAATGCAGACATTGCAATGACTCCACCAAGCGTCTCTAGGAATGCAATACAAGCGAACAGAGTACCTGTTTGGAGTAGTAGAGAGGAAAACAGAAAAGACTGAATTCCAAAAGAAGAAACAAATATGTTAATTCAATCAGTTTTTAAAAAAGAGCCAACATGGGGCACAGCTTGGTGAAGGAAAACTATTCTGTCAAAATCCTGGAAAAGTCAGTGACCCATTTTGTAGATGGAGAACCTGAGGCAAAGAGCTCTCCTTGGACTTGATGCCAGAGATGCTGAAAACTGAGAGCTGAGTTCCAGTGTCCCTCGGTCAAAGCTAAAAAGGTACTAGTAGCTGACCTGTTTGGATCTCCAGTGTCTTCTTCCTGCTCCAACTTAAGGCTAAGCCATTTGTACTCCAACTTAAGGCTAAGCCCTGCACTTTAGGATGCCATCTCTCTATGCCCCTCTGTTCCCTGTGCCACTGTGTGACAGGCAGACTCCCTAAGTTCTTTCAGAAAGCCAAAAGGTCCTTTCTCTTTGCTCCTTGGTTATGGCAAGCGTGAATGTAGCAGGGCAGAGACAAAATTTTTATCGTGCATTCTACAACTTGAGTTTCATTCATCCATCCAAAGCCACCAAAAAATGTCATCACTGCTAGCCTTTTGCATGTGTTATAATTACCCAAAGACTGTAGTGGAAGTTTATGCCACAGAGTGGTTCTTTAAAATGTGGTTTTGTGTCTCACCTACCTCTTGTTTGGGATGTCTTGTCAGAACCCTAGAATCCGACTCTAAAGAGTTTGCATCACTAAGTATAAAACTTTGTGACCATTTTCATCCAGACCAACATAATTTCCTTCCTCAGTCTCAGGTCCCAGGCGGTTTCTCCTTCCTGCAAACTTTATCATCAGATGATTGTGATTGTGCTTGTTAACCAGCTATTTTGACAAACTTACTTCTCCACAAACTGCCGCTTATTTTTGGACAATGCAAGTCATGTAAATAATTGTCTGCTCGAATTGACAGGAATAAGAGGTCAAGCTTACGGATTCTTTTCATAACTAGATTACACTTCTCAGGCCTATCTCCTAGTTTTCCTAAAGGAAAACTTTAGTCTTTAGACGGTGCATTGATTTTTTTCCCATTAAAACGTTTCCATTCAGTTATACTGTATATATCTTCATGAACTGCTTCAAATTCCTCATTGAACGATTGCACATGCATTCATAAAACATAAATCTCTGCAAAATATTGTATGGTCTTCTGACTAAAGAAAGTTCTATCAATGTTCTATCAAAGTTCTATCACATCTATCTTGATTGCTATTATGTCCCAGGGCCCAGCTATCCTGATACATGACACCCAGTTAATAAATATTTGTCAAAAAATGAGCAAAAAGCTTAACTCAGGACCATACTTATCAATCATTGCTTAGTACAGAGACTGTCTCCATAACTTATGGTAATATATGAAGTCAGCCTCACTGGAGGAAAGTTCTTCTAGTTGCCTGCCACAATATTATTTTCTCTTATTTGTGATCCCTATTGCAGCCAGCTATGTGCTGTGTTACGGAGGACAGACCGCAGAGGGCTGGTTGTATTATGTAAGGGCTTTAATCCATTCTTGATGGAAAGCAGGTCAGACAGGGCACCATCTGTCAGACACATTTACTATTATGAAGTAGCTTTAGCTTACTGATAAACTCTGAGCAGTTCAACTTGTTCAGCAGTTACAGAGGTAAGATTACATAAGTGCAAACCAATTTACTTTCTAAACTTTCAAAAAATTCAACCAGAATTTAAAAACATAAGAAACAACAGAATTTAAAACGTCTGTTTTAGGGTGTTCTTCTTTGTAATCACAAGGCGTTTAGGAGTTCACAAGCAAGGCAAAATAGTCTAGGTGGTTTCACCCATGAGTTTCACTTCCATATTGGGCACAGGGATTTTAAAATCACGACCAGAGCTCCACTTTCCTACCTTGTGGGTGTGTGTGGGTGTGTGGGGTGCACTAACCCCCTCTCCTATCCCCTATCTTTCTTAACAGACATAATGAAAGGCAGTTAAAAACTGCAGTTTCCTCTTTCTTCTGACTATTAGAAAATGCATAACATTTTTATAAAAATGGCCATTTCTAAAAAATAATGAAAGTAGGAGCACTCTCAATCATGGAAATTTTGACACTCTCCATTGTAATTCTTAGCTGATAGTTAAGGACAACTAATTACATTATTCTAGAATAATGGAGTCAGTTCTCAAAGTTACTGTAATTCATAGTACGAAATGCCAAATGTATAAACTAAGAATTTTTAAATGTTACTATATTTAACAATTTGAGATCTTTTAAACTAAACCAAATATAAACAAAAAGAAACTACACATCTTGACAAGTCTACTTTAAGTTTAAAGTCAAAGCAGGTCATTGTTTCCTGACAACTTTATTGAGATAGAATTCACAAAATCCAAAACTCAAAAAGTGCGTAACTGAGTAGCTCTCAGTGTATTCACAGAGTTGGGCAGCTATCACCACTGTGTAATATTTTCATCACCTCACAAAGAAACTCTATGTCCATTAGCAGTTACTCTTCCTCTCCCCTGCCCAGGAAAGCTCTAATCCAATTTCTGTCCTACAGATTTGCCTACTCTGGACATTTCCCATCAGTGGAATCAAATTCAGATGCTAATATGTGGCATTTGTGACTAGTTTCTTTCATTTAGTGTTCATTCTTGTCACAGTGTGTTTCAAAAAACCATTTCTTTTTAAAGGCGAATAAGTGACCATTGACATATACACCACATTTTTGTATTCATTGCTTGCACTCTTTCCACCATTTGGCTATTGTGAATATTGCTGTCATCAACACTGGTATACAAGATTTTATGTGGACATATAATTTCATTTCTCTGGCCCATAAGGTACTCTAACTTGCTGAAGGGCTACAAAACTGATTTGCAAACTGGATGCACCATTCTACATTCCAGCTACAAGTGTATGAGGGTGTCTTCTTACAGACTGTTTTATTTTGGCCATCTTTGTGGTCTTCATCACGGTTTTCATTAGCATTTCCCTTATGTCTAGAAGACTTTTCAGGTGTTTATTGGCCATTTATTTGTATATCTTCTTCTCAAATTCTTTGCTCATTTTTTAAACTGAGTTGTCATTTTCTATTTGATTTTTAAAGGATTTTTATATATGTTGTATACAAGTTTCCTCTCAGACCTATGATTTGCAAATATTTTCTCTAATTCTGTGTGCTTTCTTTATTGTATCCTCTGGAGCAGAAAAAAAATTTTAAACAATGAACTCTCCAGATTTTTGTTTTTTCAGTGCTGGGTGTTTGAGTTAGGCAAATCCTCTCTCACCAAACTACACATGTAGCTTTCAAAGGATGAATGTATAATGAAGTATTTAAATGAAATATTTCTATCTTGTCTTTTGTGAGCTACTGGTGTCGTTTCTAAGAAACTATTGCATCATCCAAGGAAGTGGGTCCACTTTTATGAATACACATACAAACATTTACATTCCAAAATGGTTACACGGTAATCATTACCACATACTCTGTAACAGTTGTGTGCATATACAACTATAGCTTATGCATGAAAAAGAACCAAGAAATATACTTTAAAATATCTGAAATTACTGTTTTCTCAGTGTTGACTAATCTAGCATGCATACAAAAGTATACTTATGAGTTATACATAAATAACCAAATGATCTTTGCACCAGGCTACGATACGAAGCAAACAAAAGCACCTAAATCTAACAGCATTCACATGATACAGAACGAGGCCACCATATACTAATACCTAACCAGTAGTTCTAATCAGAAATTTAATTCTGCCTTCTTTCTGTGCTGATTATTTCCTGCCCATCCCAGTTGTCTGATCTCCTATGCCCTGTTGTGTGCTTGGAGGTTCGCTTCCTGGATTGTAGGACTTGGACTTCCTCCCTCGCCCAACTTCCTGTCAAGCTTGGTCAAAGGGACGGAGGCTGGTATTTCTCCTCTGCGTCCCAATTTGAGCACCTTGCTGATCTCCACACTGTCCACGCTCTATTCTGCCCTTTGTAGAAGTCTCTTGATTTGAGCCAGCTCAATAGGATCCTGATATGACTCTGATTTAGGCCCAGTGGTAACATTCGTGGGGCCCAAAGTAAGATAGTTAGAGTCCTCCATATACTGCCTGAGTACAGTTGGCCCTGTTTCTATGGGTTTCTCCTCTGAAGAGTCAATCAATCATGAATAAAAAATTATAGGCCTACGATGGCTTCAGCTGTACTTAAGCTGTCATTATTCCCCAAATTACAGCATAACAACTATCTCCGTGATGTTTACATTGTTTTATGTGTTCAAAGTATGCAGGAGGGTAATTGCCTAACCCGAACCTTAACCTTCTTATTTAAGGGACTTGGGCATCTGTGGATTTTAGTTGTTGGCAAGGGGTCCTGAAGCCAATCCTCCTCAGATACTGAGAAACAACTATATTTAAAAGTTATAAAGCTGCCTAGTGAACCATTAATTCAGATGGAAGTTTTTTTTCTCTCAATAAATGTATTCTGCTTTTTTAAAAAAAGTATGTTGTCCTTCTCCACTGTGGGAAACAGATCTCTGTAATAATCTGGAAGATCCAGACACAAATGTAGAATTCTTAGACTTGGCAGACTTCTTTGGAGAAGCTGGATAGGGCAGCACACAACTGCGATCCTAGCATGCAAGAGACTGCAGCAGGCAGACCATGAGTTCAAGGCCAGCCTGGGCTACACTGTGAGTTCAAGGCCAGCCAAGACTACACAGTGAGACTTTGCTCATAAAAAAAGAAAAAGCAAGAAAGGAATTCCATGTAGGGACGTAATGGCCCTGGGAAAGCTGACCTGTGTCCTCTGTCCCCAGCCTGTGCCCAGCCCCATTCTTTTCTACGTCTGTTCCATTTTGCTCAGAAAGTTATCTACACATGGGTGCAGATGCCCTGGTCCTGCAAGGTCAGACTCACCTTCCCATGAAGGGTCTCCCCTCTCCCGCCCCAGTGGTTCTCCCCTGTGGATCAGAGAGAGCACCCCCCACCCCGGGGCATAGTTCACAGAAGAGAATCACATAAGCACACACGATCACATGACCCTCACATGAGGATCGTTGGACAGGAACCCAGAGCCATCCGGGCTGGAACTACAGAGATCCCCGTGGCCAGTGCTGGGCAGAAGGTGAGAGCGTTATGGGCCCCCCCAGGGCATGTGTCCCCTTGGTCCTCAGGCCTCTCTCCTCTTTTCTTGTGGTGGGCCATAGCCAGAGAAAAGGCCACAGCTGTCCCTTAAAGCAAGGGCTCTGGGAAGGGGCTTCTTTGCCTGAGTGCAAACCTTTTTCTCACAGCTCTCCACTCAATCAAGAAAACAGAGCAGGGCAGGAGGCTGCAGAATATTCTGAAGCATCAAACATAACACAGTTTCAGTCAGCAAACTCACTATATTCCTTAAAGAAATCAAACTCACCTTGTTCAGTAGAAGGCACCTCTCTTGACATCAAGGATCGCAAAACAGACAGCGGTGCAATCACAAAGAAGTGCAGCACTCTGACTATAAAGAGAAATGATTGGATAAATAACCAGATACGGCCAGTTCAGGACACTAATGGCGAATTCTACATGGAAAATACTGTCTCAACCTTTCATTTCCTAGGAGCATCCTAACCCACTGCCTCTGAGGACCAAATTAACTTAGAGTTCTGCTTAATGATTTAAATAGACAATGAATATTTCACAGTTACTGTGGGATTCTTATTTTGGTACCAGTAACAAATGTTCATGAAAGGTTTAGGTCCAGACCTGTATCATCTCCCAATTGAAACTGGCTTGCCTATTGTTTTGATGACAAAGTAACCGCTAATTTAGCAAACTGTGACTGCTAATTAGGTTTTCTTGACTGCTTTTGTCCTAGCATAGGTAACTGAACTTTTCCCAAAGGCCCACTTAACAATTTCAATGTCCCTCGCAATGCAGGTTTTCATTCAGTCCCTACAAAAACAGTTACGAGGTATGCAGTCAAGGAAGTAGCCCAATTTGCCAAACAGCAATTCATCAGCAGTCAAATCACAAAATGACAGGTTTCCTTTTGCAAAACCTGTCTTGAGGAATTTTCTGAGCTGGGTGTGGTGGCGCACCTCTGTAATCCCAGCTCTAAGGCAAAAAGAGCACCGATGAGTTCAAGGCCAACCTGATTTACCTAGTGAGATCCTACCTCAAAAAAAATGAAAATAAAATTTCTTCCTGAGGGGGTCTGGGAGCCACTTTTTTGGACCATCAGAGCAAACCCAGAGCACCTCTTGCCCTCTCCATTTCCTGGAAGCAGTATTTCTGATATCTGGTTTTATGTAAAATTTATAACAGCATTTTCTCCGTAGGTTGTATCCTATTACTGTATTGTGAAATTACTTTGGTGAGGTATATCAGAAATATTTTTAAAACTGCGTATGACAAATGTCAGAAGACACTGAAAAAAAATTTTTTCTTCTTGAACATATTCAATGAATATAAATTTGTCTTATAAATCTTTTGGGTATACTTTTTTCGTTTGAATATTTCTTGAAACTAGTCTATGGAGCAGCATTATATGAAATGTTCCCTTAAATGGTAGTTGTTTTGAAGAATTGACTCACAGTAAGAATGTCCCTCAAAACAATTTTTTTGGCAAGTGTGAAAAATTGTGGTTTTTCAGTAAATTTGTTTTTCTCAGCAAATTTGGCTTTTAACTCTTGGCTTTTTACCTTTAATAAACTAGAATAGGTTAAATAGAGAGTTTTACATTTAAGGTTCTCTTTCAGAAACACTGAATTCACTTTATATAAAAGCAAGACATAATTCTGAGGTTACAACTGTAACTCACCTAGAAACATCATCAGTGTGGTTTTGGCAAAAGCAGTCATAATTATTCCTCCCATGGTGGTAAAAATTCCAATGAAGGCGATATAAATGTCTTCCATGCAATAAGAAAAAAGCCATATTCCAAGGAAACTAGTAAAAAAGGAGACACTATCCGAAGCTGATCCATACCCTATAAGAACTTCATCCCAGCAGAGTGGGGAACCCAATTCATAAAGGATAAGAACAGGGGATATGCCAACTGTCACAAAAAAATAAATGACCATTGTGGAAAGTAACAAACAGAGCAAAGATCGCTGCCTTCCAGTAGCATTTTTAAAAAGCATGTATGTTCGCTGACAATGGCTCTTACAGCTTTCCATACATGACATACTAACATTCTGCAATGAAGACTCTTTCAGTGAATCTCCAAGAAAAAACACAATATAGACCAAACTAATAGCAACAGCTATAGCAATAATTAAAAATGACCACACAAAACCTAGCTGTCTAATAAAATAGCCAGACGACAATCCGGTTAGTCCAGAAACAATTCCAACCGTGCAGTCAACTATGGCTATTCGAAGTGTTTTTTGCTTGTTTTCTTTACACTGATCAACTACATAGGCAAAACAAGCTGCCCAAAATGTGCTGAAATTCCCAAAAAAAGCACTAATAAAGGTAGAGGCAATCAAAAGCTGGAATGGAAGAGCAAAATAGGAAAGCAAACACAGCCATACATTAGTTACAAGAATACCAATAGAAGATAAAATCATGGGGAATTTTCGTCCACGCTGATCACTACTAGACAAAAGTAGGAATGTGGACACCATACTAGGAATTAACCCACTTATATCCAGCTGCAGACTAAAAAGAGACGCTTTTTTCTGAACGGCCTGCAAAGAAATAAAAAAATGGTTTACAGAGGCTATACAAGTTCCATAAAAATATCACAATGCATACTTTTCTTGACATTGCCAGTAGGTTTCTGGTGCATGGGGGACCACATATGGCTTAAATCTTCATCCAGTATGAAAAGCAGGTGTCTAAAGGTGGCATAATTATACATAACTGTGGCATCCAGGCACATGCAGTGAAGACTTGAACCCATAAAAGGAAAAATGTACATACTGATGGGAGTCTATCTTACACAAAGGATCTGTATACCCTATGGCCCTGGAACTGGCTAGAGGATGATTTTCCTTTCTCCTGGGAACAGTTTGCATGGAGAGATCATGACCGCTTTCCTAAACCAACAGCGGTAACCTTTCCTGAGCTAGGTCTCCCTGCCATGTCATGGACAGAGAATAGCTCATATCCACACCAGGCTTGATAGCTCTGTGTTTATTTAGAAGATCTCCACTGCCATTTTCACCTGTGTCTTCACAAGTAGATTAGTGAGTAACTTATTCCTTTATTTACTGAACTTCAAAAATAAGATCAATGTCAAAGAGGGCCTTTGCGTTGACTACAGACAGTAGGTAGGCTGCTGTGAACTGAGGCGTGGAGGAACATAACTTCTGAGAACCAAAATGATGACAATTACATAGACACACAGATGGGAGCCGTGACAGACTGACTGCTCTATTGCTCATTTGATGGCAAGAATTTTAAGTGACTATAAAACATCTGTTTGCCACTTTTTTATTTTCCAAATTTATTTTTAATTAATTTACTTATAGATGTCTGTAGCATATGATGCTCACATTCCTTGTGAGGAATTGGTACATACACATAACACATTTCAATTTGTTTATTCATCCCCTTTCCTTAACATCCTTTCCCCATGCATCTGTTGATGCCCTTCCTCTAGGAGAAACATCTCCCTGCTTCCTATCATCTGTCTTTAGTTTTGCTCTTTACTTATACTTTAGGTTTCTCATATAAAAGAAAACTATATGATATTTAAGTTTATATGTCTAATTTATTTCACTTAACATTATGTCCCAAGGTGCATGCATTTTTCTACAAATGACTCAAGTTTATCTTTCCTTATGACAGCATAGTACTCAATTGTGTAAAAACATTTTCTTTATCCATTTATCTGTTGATGGATGTGTAGGCTGCTTCACTATTAGCTATTATGAATTGTGCTGCTATAAACGTGGTAATGCATGGATCACTGTAATATGATGTCTTTAACTCTTTCAGGAAGATACCTAGAGGGGAAATAGCTGGGTCAAATGGAATTTCTAGTTTCAGGATTGGGGGGAGGTACCAGGGATTGAATTCATGACCCCTTGCCAGTAGTTTCAGGTTTTGTTTTTTTTTTTTTTTTGAAGACTCTCCACACTGATTTCCATAACAGCTGTACTAATTTACATTCTCATCAACTGTGTAGAATGTGGATTCCTTTATTTCCACAACCTCGCCAGTATCTGTCATTATTTGATTTTTGGACAGCTACCCTTTCTGGAGTAAGATAGAATCTCAGTCTTTGTTATAATTTGCATTTCTCCAATAGCCTGGGATGTTGAGCATATCCTCATATAAATTTATTGGCCATTTTGCACTTTTTCTATGAGATGTCTATTTCAGTGATGATGAACCTTTGAGAGATGAAGTGCTTAAACTGCAAAGCAAAACCAACTTATTAATCACAAAGTGCCAACACTGCAGTCAAACCCAAACGCTGAGGCTGTAGTTTAAAAAAAAAAAATCATACTTAACATCTTTTGTCTGAAGAGAAAAACAACACTCCTGCCACTGGATCACCACCACTGGATTATTATCTCACTGGCCCATGTTCTGATTGGGTCTTTTATTTTGGGGATCTAGTTTTCCCATTTCTATAATGAGAAATGCTATGTGCATTAAAAACAAAGAGTTTTTTTTTCATGCACTACTTAGAAAGCAGCTTAGACAACTCATGAATTATAAAATATCAACCACAGCTTTCTGCTGTACAATCTGACCACAGGAAAGCAAGCACTTCGTTACCTTCACCATGATTTCTGCAGCCCTGAGAACAAGGCCAGGTTCAGGCAGGTGCTCAGTAGACACTGCAGAAAGAGTCAAGTAAAATAAGACCTCTGCTAGCTGTGCAGGATCCTGACCCAATTATTTACCTTAACAGCCCCTTCTTACTGAGCCACGGCCACATCCCGAGCTTTTAAAAATTTTGACATTCAATTCATTAAATTGCCCAGGCTAGACTTGAACTTGTGATTTTACTGCTTCAGCCTCCCAGAGTGCTGGGATTCCAGGTGTGCATCCACCTTTCTGGCCATGTATGTATTTCAAACACTGGAGAATTACAGTTATATATCATAGATAGGTAATTTTAAAATGCTGTTTTCTATCCAAGATTAGACAGGACAACAATGTACTGAGACGAGGATAATGTAAGGAAAACAGTATCAACTTTAAAGAGGTTAAAATTTCATAGCATGAAATGTGTATGTTAACTCCAGCTGAGTAAAAATATTCCATGTCATTTTTTATAATTAGGAGACCGCTAATGACAGGAGAGCATGTTAGTTATTAAAAGGTTTACAACCAAGTCTCAGACAAAATAATTTCATGATCTGCTGAGTTTGCCCTCTTAAATAGCTGAGTCACTGTCTTAAAAGCTGTCTCTAAAGAGCAGACACCCAGTGCTAACTTATTTCCTCAAAACTAATCATCCAACATGGGAAGGAAGAAGCAGCCTTACAAAGCAGCTTCCCTTACAAAAGTCAACAAACAAGCCTAGAAGTCCTTCCCCCGTCCTCCCTGGCCAGCAGTTTCCCAGCCACAGCCTTGCCATTTTGTTAAGGATCCTTCTGAGATTCACATCATTGTCCAAGAGAAGTTTGTATATGAAGATCTGCAAAGTAGGTGAGATCAAGAGTAAGTTATGTAGGAGTGCGTACATGTGTGTATAATAATGGAAAGTGAGTTAAAAGCACGACTTTCATTATCATATAAACCTTCAAAATGTCAAAAATAAATGAGTCCATTTATTACTATCCATACCCTGAATTCTCTAATGTTTTGCATAGTAATACGGACATGTATCCATCTGTTATGTAAGAAGGCTATTAAATATAAGAACTCTATTATGATATGCACTGTCTCCTCATACACAATTGGTCCTCTGAGAAAGATAAGAAAAAAATTGAGCTGAAGAAACCACTTATTTATTTATTCATTTATGTATTTTATTAGGGACTCCCCAGTGCTGTGACGTTTGTTATTTTTGTGGTTACAAGAACTGCCCACATGCTGAGCATGGTGCCATCCTCCTGGGAGGCAGATTCGAGAGGGATGCAAGTTCGAGCCTGACCTGGACAATTTAACAAGAGCTTTTCCCAAAATAAAAAAATAAAATAGGGCTGGGGATGTAGTGCAAAGGCCCTGGGTTCAATTCCTGGGACTGAGAAAACAAATGGATGGTCCATAGCCCCTCCAAAGTTTATGGAGAACAAGTGAACCAGCCAATCCAACAGGGCTGTGCGATAGACAGAGAGGCCCAAGGAACAGGAAACATTGCTCCGGGATAGGGAATAGATGTTTCTCCCAGGAACAGAGCAGGACAGGATGGTGAAAGAAGCCAGAAGGAAGTGCTAAAGGTGATGGTAGTTTTGCTTCAAAAATGTCCTTTTCAAAAAAATCCCAGCTAGAGGTGGGGTGGTTTCCAGATCCCCATTCTGAGAAAAAGCATCAGAGTCTAAGAACACCAACTTTAAGGGGAGGAATCAAGAGTAACAGTGTGTTTTCTTAACTATTAATTCCATTTAAAACAATGAAAAACAGCCCATCAATCTGAAAACTGGGCTCAAATCTTCTAAATGCTCTGGGCAGCAGAGGGCTCCACGGGGCTGGGCCAGGCCAGGTGGGGCAGAGGGCAAAACACTTCCCACCCACTCAGTCAGAGGCTAAGATGCCTGGACCAGGCCTGTCTACCCATGTCCCTAGAGGGCAGAAGCAGCAGGTATTTCAGTCTCCTCCACCCAGGTCCCTTGAAAGGGCCCATGGGGTCTGCTCCTGGACTGCAGTTGGGCAGCAGGAAAGCCAAGAACCCAACAGAGCTGATTGGCCTACAGAACCTGCCTGTTCCAGAAGGCCACATGATGAGGCCTTCTTGAAGGGAGATAAAATCACTCAGGGACACCCTTCTCTCCTTATGACCTTACTTGAGGCCACAGCCTTGTTGTCTATGTGGCAGAATTCATCAGTTCTGAGAAAACTTCTTCCCCAGAAAGGAGAAAATGGGCACATCAGGAGCTGTGCTAAACAGCCGGGCCTCACCCCAGCCAGCTTTCTCATGACACTTGGGAGACACCTTCCCTTTAGGGCCTTTCCTTACTCCAGATTATGTCTCCCCTCCAGTGACTGTCACAGCCAGGGGAGGTGACTCAATGCTCTTCTGCATCTCTTCTCACCTGCACTGGGAGGACAGCCCCACTCCTTTGCTGCCACCAACTATCCCCAAGTTCTCAGTTCATAAACTGGCTTGTGTTGAAGGCTTTGGAGGGAAAAGCATTTACAAATCTGAATGCCACCACTTTTGCATCTGGATGCTCTGTTCTGTAAACAAGGCATCAGGGAAGAAGCTGCAGAGGGAGCAGGTAAAGCCCTATGTATCCAGCTAAACATTTTCTGTGTTCTGAGAGCAAAAGCGAGTTCCCACTCCGGATGTTGTCACAGAGCTCAACCTGCGGGAGTTAAAACTGATAAAGCCACCAAACACCAAGTGATAAACCCACCCCGCCCAGTAACAGACACAAGCCCACAATCTCCCATCGCAGGCCATTTTCTGGAGTTTTGAAAGCTAGGACATGCAGACTCAGCAGAAGGGAGCAGGGAGGAAGGAGACACACCAGGCTTCACTCAGCCCTGCCCACCAAGCAGCTGGTTCCAGCAGGAATTGTTTTAGGACAGAGGCAGGAGACAACCACAGAGTAGATGAGACTGTGCAGGGATTTTCCAGGAGAATGGAGAGGAGCTAGTGTCATAGAGAAGAGGGTATGAAAGACAGGCAGGCTACAAATCAGGAAACTTCAAGTGAGATGGGAACCGGGGAAAGGCCATTTGGTTTGGGATTTGAGAGTCTGGTAGTCGCCTCTGAAAGGCCAATATATACTGCTTCATTCTCTTTCATGTAATTTGTTTCCCATTCTCTTTTTTTAGCACATCCTGGGAAAATTTTAATTTCTTACCTTCTGGAATGCAAAAAGTGGGCTGCTTTCGTTGTGTCCGCACTCAGAAATATTGTTGTGAAATGCAAAACTGTAGTTGCCCGTTTCTTCCCATATTCTCTTATACACATACTGTGTTGTCAGTGGGGCGTTTAAACTCATAACAAACGCATGAAGGAAAACGGCAGGTTCGACAAAGTAAACTTTCATATTGCTTGAGTAAGTCGCGTTTTTTGTTTTTTTTCTATGAAAACATGAAAAAGAGAAGTGATCTGTTGCATTCCTATCCCTGTGGCTGGATTTTTCAGATGGGGAAGTCAGAACAATTTTGTGGATTGAACATAAACCAGCAAAACCGAGAACAGAAAAGCAGTGACCACTTCCTAAGAAGATCATTTTACCTTGGATCTAATACTCTAAACCCGAGACAGTCAACACTTTTCATTTTAAAAGCTGGAACTCTTGGGACTCAAGCCGCCTTTAGGATGACGCTTTGCAATAATTTAATAAATTCTCGCTCATCCGGCAGTCACTCCGAGTTCCCACCTCAGATAGTCCCATTTGGCTTTCAGAAGGTGAACAAAAATGTCCCTTTGGGGTCACGACAGTTACGCAACTGTGGGTTTATTTTGCTGCGTGCTAACAGCCTGGGAGGAGCCTTTTAAAAGGCAGCTCCCTAGCGCACAGTGTTTCGTTTTGTTTTGGTTTTAAACTCACCCGCGATTACAGTCTTGCAATTACAGCGAGGCACAGGGCCGACCTCTGCGGGAGCAGGCTCCTCGGATGCCCCGCGGGCCGACAGCTCCCAGAACAGGGCAGCCGGGGCGCGGGGTGGGGACCCACTTTTCAAACTCCAGCCCTATTTTAAGGCAAGCCGAGCAAGCTCACTTCCCGCGTCTACAGTGACCCCCCACTCCCACCCCGATGCTCGCAGCTCTGCCTGCGGCTCTCGGCTGCCCCGCGATGTCTCCCCCAGCTCCGAGCTCCGCCCGCGCAGTCCGATGTAGGTCGGCGTACGGTTCCGCCAGGTCAGCTCTGCGCGGTGACTCAGGCCGGGCCAGCCAAGCGCGCAGCCTGGCAAGCGGACCCGGCCCGCAGCTGCTGAGATACCACTGTACCACCCTCCGGCTTCCGCGATTGGGCCATGCGGCCGGCTCCCTGCGGGGATTGGTCTATCGGAACGTCAATCTCGTGTCCCCGCCCCCAGAGGGGAGTCTTCGGCAGTCAGCAGCCTGGAGGAGGCCCTCGCAGCCAGCCAGCTGCAGAGCCTCCAGTTGACAAGCGTTTCTGGATTCCAGTGTTGTGTGTCGTAGAAACGAAAGTAAAATGCAACTCCCTGTAGCACCCCGGTCTGCCGAGCAAGTAGCTTGTATGTGTGCATGTGAGTGTGTATGTGTTGGGGGTGGTTGTGTAGTGGTCGCCTGTAAAAGGCACAGGAAAGAGTGCTCTTGGCAAAGAGAACCTGGAGTTGGGATGTGATCCTTGGCTCTTACTAGTGGTGGCATGGACACATTCCTTACCAGGCAGCCGCAGCACAGGCCCTGGGTGTGGTTGGTCAGTGATGTCCTGGCATAGGAAGCAGGAGCTTGCCTGCAGAGTTGGGGTATTCTTGCCCCACAGAAGATGCATACAAAGGGAACCATGGACCATCTCAGCGGGAAAGGGCCACAATTCTTATGGACACGTTTGCAGTGATTGGGCAGAGTCCAAGAAAGTAAGGTCTTACTCTGAAGAGGCTGCTGTCAGGAAGCAGGGGCAGCTCTGTGGTCAGGTATCCTATCTTATCTAGAAAGAGGCTGTGATAAAGAGGCTGCGGTCATTTTGTGCCAGGTTTATCTCTTTAGACAGGCTTATAGAGTAGGCTTGTTTTCGTCCCCAGCATGGCTCAGAATGGCCTTGCCTGAGCAATGGTGAGTGGATGTTCTCTGAAAAAAAAAAATTTTTTTAAGAGTAGAGAATATTTATTAGAAAAAGAAAGCTTCTGTCTGAGAGAGGACAGAAGGGGTCCTGAGTGGTTTGCCAAGGACCCTGTGTTTTTTTAGGCTTTTTTTTAAAAATCTTTTTGAGGCAGGGTTTTGCTATGCAGTTCAGATTGCCTTGAACTCAGTTTGTAGCCCAGGCTGATTTGTAAGTCGAAGTGCTCCTCCTGCCTCAGCTTCCCCAGTGCTGAGATTACAGATGTGTGCGAGGCATTCTCCTCTTGAGTAGAAGTCTCCATCCAATGATCTTGGGGGAACACCTCCAAATGACATAGGAGAAAGAATCTCCCAACCTTCTAGATGTCACGATGCACGATGTTTTATAGAACATGAATGTGCTCTATAAAATCAAAGAATGAATTTTAGGAATAATAGAAGTTAAGAGCAGAATATATTAAGGAAAGAAAGAGTTGTCTGTGAGAGAGACAGAAAGGGTCCCGAGTGGGTTGCCCTATGAAACTGTTTTTAGTTAACAGAACACCGTGGATGAGAAAAATTCACAGCCACTTGTGGGTCTGATAGTTCCAGGGCAGAGCAACCCTTTCTTCCTCAGGACTCAGCAACTGATAACTGTGTCACCCAGTGTAGTCAAAAACTTTGCTTTGAATCCTGACTGCTAGTTGGTAGCTCTTAACCGTGGACTTGCCTCTTCTCAGATTCATCAAATAGGTATTTCTGAAGCACTTCCTCTGTGTTTCAAGCAGTGGAGCGTGGATGCGGAAAAGAAGGAATACAATGAATATGATCCTGTTTCCTAGGGAGACATCTGTTAAATTTTGATGCAGTGTGCTAAGTGGTAGGTTAGGGACACATTCCAAGCAGACGGGTCCCCAAGAATAGCTAACCGGAAAGAGTTGGTCTGCACAGGAGAGAGATTTGACAACCGTGCAAGAACAGAGGAGAATATAGAAAACAACCTAGTCACACTGCTTTGACATTATAAGACTCTGTATAATCTTAACTATAATTACCAAAGTAACATCTGTTTTGTGTTAGCTGAATCTCTAAATATTTTAGCTTACTTAGGCCTTTTTGTTCACTGTCTTTACCACGAAGAGAAAAATGCTCACTTCAGTGGCTGGGCTCATGTAAAATCAGAAAGGGAAGGCCATCATCTGGATATTATTATCTTCGAACAGCAAAGGTTTCTCTCTCAAACTACACATCCATCTTGGAAAAAGTCACCTCCATCACGTTCACTCATGGATGCAGACTGAGAGAGCCCGCTGTGTATTATTATTGGTATCAGGGCAGAGCAATGGGAGTACGATGAATTTCATTCTTAGAGATTTACCCCAGAAACGGTACAGGCCTCTTCTGCTCACATTGTATTGAAGAGAGCAAGTCACAGGACCACCCGGAGAAGGGCAGGCCCAGCATGTGCTAAAAAAGAGTAGGCAATAATGATGTAATGTATGCAATGTCCCCAGGCCATAATTTCTTCAGAAGATCAATTACGGGCATTTTGCTTGCATATGTGTGAATTAAAGTCATTATTGACTAGTTACTAGGCATTCAGTGAAACAGAAGAAATCAAGATACCATGATCATCAAAGCTGTTACCTTGATTTGGTAAGACAAGATGTAAATATGTACATGGGTAGTGTGGACGATTCCTTAAGTATATAGAAATAATCAGGTAACTGTCCCCCATTCACCAGCTGTTAATGATGTTCTTCACAAACTTAGGCTTTCTAACTTCAAAGACTCAGAGAAGACACTACAAATAAGGGGCTGGGTGTACGGGGAGGTTGGCTCTTCCCCAGGGACAGTTTTCCTGGCCGTGTTTCTGAAATGTAGATTAACAGGTGCAATCTTCACCTCAGGAACCTCCAGGAAGATGTCAACATTTTATGTTTGAGTTCAATGACCAAGACATGTTCATGTAAGCACATTAGGAATTGTTTTGTAATCTAGTGGTGACACTGGATTTCAGTGTCGATGTTTGTGTGTCTGCTTTTCGCTTACACTGGCTCCAAGCAGGGGTATTGTAGTATGTCAGACTAGTGAAAAAAGAAGTGGAATAAATGGGTGAATGATAAGCCCTTGCTGAGCGAAGACCAAACAGTGTCAGATCATGTTCAAGAGAAGTTTTCATAGTATTCTAATAAAATTTGGGGTAGACCACAAGTGAATGTGTAAATAAAAAATCTATTGCAGTAAAAGGCACATTGTGATTAATCTCCTTCCGCATATGTCCCTGCATTTTGAATGTACCTATCCCGTCATTTGTCATTTTGCCACTTTCTGACGCAGTGCTGGAAGTCCTCTCTCAGGAACGTCTTTACAAGGTGTGCTCAAAAGTGCAGCGAATGCTGTGGCCAGGGGCTGCCCAGTGGACAGGCAGGTTCATACAAGCATTGTAGTGTTCTCACCCCCTTATTCACCTGATCTGTCACCATGTGACTTCCGGCCCTTCCCCCAAATCAAAATTACCCTGCAAGGTAAACTCTTAAAATCTTTTCAGGACACTGAAGCAGCCACCACAGTGCAATTAAAGACAAGAAAGAGGACTTCTGCAATGACTTCAGCAAGTGGCAAGAAGATGGGACAGGGGTGCTCAAAGTAAGGGAAAGTCTTTTGAGGGGGATAATGACAATGTGTCTTTTTAAATACATTTTAAAAATGTACTTAAACATTTGCCGTGTGTTTCAGTCACATATGTTCTGATCTCAGAAAACCCCATACTATGGGAATAGCGGCCAGTGCTGTATTCAAGAGGGAAAAGCCAAAATGGAATCAAGGAGCTATGAAGCACCGTTGATTTCAAAAAGAATATGGATTTTTCAGTTCTGATAAAATAAACTAAAATGCAATGAAAAACTTGAGTTACGGCAGTTACTGCTTACTAGGTAGTTGTCAGTACAGTGCTGATAAGAATTCAGCATATTTCACCTTACACACAATTTGTTGAAAGTAATTCAACCCTATGACACTAGTCAATAATGTGCCAAAAGAGACTTGCGTAGGTCTAAGTTAGGTGAGAAATTAGCAGCCTTGTCTTTCTTGTCCCATGTTGCTTTGGACCCTTGGGGAATGTTCCTTCTTTCCCTCTAAAGTCCATGACCAGACGCCATCTTTTTGCTGCCTTGGAGAAAGAGGGCTTCTCCTTGGTTTTCTCTGAGTTTGCTTTTCAAATGCTGCTAATCCCCAGCTCCACCTCAGCTCCCTTCTGAATCTCAGTCTTACCTGGGTCTGATGTCACAAATGTGCAGACCACTGCGGTATCTCTGCCTTAAGCCGGCCCTCTTCTCTTAGCTCTGACCCCCAGAGCTTTGACTGAGTTATAGGCTGCTCATTCCTTATTCAAAGTGCATGGGGCAAGAAGTGTTTCAGATTTCAGGGGTTTCCGAAATATGCAATAATTGCGTGTGTTTTACAGCCAAACTTCCTTAAATCAAAATTCTGAAACTTGTTGAGTATTATGCTGGAGTTCAAAAAGTTTGGGATTTTGGAACAATTCAGAATAAGGATATTAAACTTGTATTTCTAAAAATCTGTGCACTTTGACTGTGCAAATTAAGCTGTCTGTGGTGGCACAAACACTCAGGGAGGCTGACGTAGGAGAATCACAAGTTTGAGTCCAGCCTGGGCAATTTAGCTACCTAGTGTGACTGTCTCCATAAATAAGGAAAAGGGCCGAGAATGTAGTTCAGTGAGCATGCCTGTGTTCAGTCCCCAGTATCAGAAAGAAAAGAGAGAGAGAGAGAGAGAGAGAGAGAGAGAGAGAGAGACAGAGACAGACAGAGAGAGACAGAGACAGAGAGGCAGAGAGACAGAGACAGAGACAGAGACAGAGACAGAGAGAAAGAAAAGAAAAAATTCAAACAGATACAATCTTCCTCCTAAATCTGATATTCTTTTGCAAGCCCATTTAATCTCTGACTTCTTGGGCATCACATGCTTCATTAATAGTTTACATCAGAAGAATAACTGGCATAATCTATGCTTGTTTTTGGTGTGTTGTAAGGCAGGCGCCCCCTGGAGTGCTCTTTTGATTTGACTAAGGGATGGGGCAGAGAGTTATGTCCTATCATTGCTCCATTAGTAGGTGACATTTTCTGGCTGATGGAGAGGGGATGGGCAAATATGCAGAAATATAAGAGTCAGATA